CCCCCCCATCATCATCATCATCATCCCTCGTCGCCCCCCCCGGCCCCAGCCCAGGCCTCCCGCATTCCCCGGGGCGCCTCTTCTGCCTCCGCGGGGCCTCCTCTTCACCCACCCCCACCGCCCCATCGCTTTCCTCACAGCCCGCTGCCCACAGCAGACCCCCAGGCTGGTCACGTGGGAGGCTTCTCCCCTCTTCCAGGGGTCTCCGACGTTGCTGCCCCCCACCCCGTGACTACAGTTTAGTTCTGGCTTCTGCTGCCCCATATTTGGTTGTCCAGATGCAGAGCATCAGTGCATGGCCCTCCTTCTGCCCACACCCCACACGATCTGTCGAGCCCCTGAAGCATGTGTGAAGGTGCAATCCGGCTATGGGGGGAGCCCCCCCACTCCCTAGAGGGCGGTCAACACCCCCCCAGTGCAAAAACCCCCTTAGGCTCGGGACCATCCTGGGGGCACATCCTGCTTCACTGGGGCCGCCGAAGGAATCGGCAGAGCCGGTGGACGGTTGCGGGCGCCTTCGAGCCAGGTGCCGTGGGGTGGCGAGAAGAATCGCGCGGATCATGAGGACCGAAAGGTGTCCTTAGCGGAATCCGTGAAACATCCGGAGCTGGCTGCACCCAGCCAAGATTCCCTGCTCTGCAAACAGCCAAAGCTACAGGTTTTATGCCCAGGGCCGGGATGACCGCTGCTCCCCCAGCTCACGGTGGAAGGGAGACATGTTTCTGCCTCCACCTGTGCTCCACACCTGCATGACACGCACATTTGCACATTTTGGGTTTGCACGCCCGCTGCTGCTGTGCTGTTCCAAAGCGGGGGGGGGGGGTCTTGTTGCAGGATCACTGAGAGTTGTCTGAAGGGATGTCCAGGGGCCCCCCCATGCACGACCACACGTGCCAGTGGCAACCAGGTCTGCACACTGGTGTGGGGGGTTGTTCTGGAGAAGAAGGGTGTGATCTTGAAGGTGCCTTTTTCTTGGAAAACATAGATATATGTTGGAGTGCCCAAATCCCCTGCCTCTTTGAAAGGCAGAATGTCACTAGAAACCCTCCATATTCAAAACCTAGAGGTAGAGACTTTGTAGAGTCGTTTTTATTATTATTTTTATTATTATTATTATTATTATTATTAATTATTCTACCACCACCACCACCACTGCATTGCATTTATACGGTACTGTTTTTCCTCTTTTCCTTGTAAGGACCCCAAGGTAGCAAACATCGCTCCATTCTAACCATTTTTATTTCATCCATTTTAATTTTAACCTGTGCACGGTGCTTCGTCCATTTGAGCCCGGGTGTTGTTGTTGCTGTTGGTTCACTGTATTTACTGATTTAAAGCCATTTTAAGGCTTCCTTTGAGGGCAAAACCCTTGCAGGGGATGTGGCCGAATGCCATCACGGCGCTGCAGAGAGAAGAGCGTGGATTTTGCAAAACTCCTGTCGTTCAAATACAGGCGCCCCCTCAGAGCCCGCTTGGCAGTCCACATTGTGATAGTGGGTTGGTCCTCTCAGAGTTGCTTCCAGTCCTTGTGAAGTGTTTTGCATTTAGAACGAATTTTGGAGCGGTAGATGTGTTAAGCCAGCAGAGATGCTTTGGCCATCTACTTTCAAAACTCCCTGTCTGTCATGGCATTCATTTCTGTGGGCTGTTCATGAGAGTGGGCCTGATCCTATACATGCCTTCTCAGAAGTGGAAGTGTAGAGATTGGATTATAATGGGCGCATCGCCCAAGTACTGGAGTCGCAGGGCTTCCTTCTGCCTAGACTTGCATGGTTTTTAAGCATCTTGATGCAATTTCCTCTGGAGATGTGTGGAAGCAGCTCTCCTCAGACTGGTGCCCTGCGTGACGTGTGGGACTACATCACTGGATTGTGGATGATGGGCGTTGTGGTCCAAAACATCAGGAGGGGGTTGGTTTGGGGAGGGCTGCAGCTGGAAAAGGCCAGGGACTAGCACCTTTGTTTATGAAACTTAAGCTGCAGTAAAGATGGTCTTTCAAATGTCACAGGAGATGCAAATCGCCTTTCCAGTTCTGCCTCTCCGATAGCTCTCCCCACTTCCCCAGGAAAAGAAATGCAACACCAGCCCCCCCACCTGCATAGATTTGCATAAGATTAACATGCTAACTGATATGTAGACCCATTTAGAGTTGAGGAGGAACTGGCATGGAAATACAAGATATTTCCTGTGCGGTGGGCGGGGGGGGGGGCGGGAAGCTGCTGTGAGCAAGTTGTGTAACCCTGTTTGGACCGGCTCTGCTCTGGACCCGCGCTGCTGAATTAACAGAGACCCGCCTGTTGCTTTATGAATGCTGCCCGTGCAAAATCCTTCAAGGAGGACAGAACCTCGGAGCCGAGTCTGCATGTGGGAGTGCAGCGATCCATGGGGCTGGCGCTCGCTTTCCCGGATCTTTGCTCTTCAGGCCTCACCCCTTTCTCTCTGCAGAGGCGCCTGTGTCCAGCAGTCATGACCAAAGACGACTCCGTGGAGCTCCCCTCGGAAGAGGAGCACCAGGCCCTGGAATTCCAGAGCCCCGTCCTGGAAAGGAGGAAGAAGCCTATCGTCCATCCTTCTGCCCCGGCTCCTCTCCCAAAGGATTATGGTCAGTCCGTCCTCGAACTCCACGGTTTCTGAAGAAAGCAGCCACGTTGCCAGAGGCAGGAGTGGCTGGGGACTTTGTGGGCGTGGGGCTCCCAATCCAGTCCAGCTTTCCTTTTGAGTTTCCCAGGAGCTCTCCCTGCTGCTCTGGCAGGTTGGAGCTCAGCTCAGGAGGGGCTGGGGCTTCCTATGCCAGCGGGTTGCCTCATCCCTGGCAGCTTTTATTTTCAGTGGCCTGTCCATGGGCACTGTAGTAGCCAACCTGTTTGGAACTCAGCCCCGTGGCCCTCTGTGTCCCCAGCCTGCCCTGCCCAGATGATAAGAGCTTCTGGTTTGGGGGTGTCCCGATGAGGCCCAACAGGAAGCTCTGAAGTGCCACAGGCAGTGGGGCTGGAGGAGGGGGCTGCACTGAAGCCCCCCTTCCTGGGCGTGCTTGGATCAGTCCCTTAGCTGACCGATGCCTTGCGGCCAGAAAAGCTCTCCAGTGTGTGGGCTTCTTGCATGCAGAAGGGGCGGCTGCCCCCGCCGGCGGCACGATCTCAGGCCATGGGAAAGACTGTTTCCATGGAATCTGCTTTAGATGGCCTTAAAGGGGGTTTGTGCCAAGAAACTGCTAGTCCTGGTGGCCCCGTGCCACCTCCAGGATCGAGGCAGTGTGGGTGTGTGCACCACTTGCTGGGGAACATGGGTCCGTTGCACTCCTGTGTGCGGGCTGCCCGTGTGCGGCCGGTTGACCGCTGTGGGAAGAGAATGCTGGCCTGGATGGAGCTTAGCCTGGCCCAGCAGGGCGTTCCCGGGTTCTCCCCTCTTGGCCTCCCCAGTTCCCTCTGAGCTTAGCCGCATCCGCACGGGCAGCGCATTCACATCTAGGTGGGAGTGGATCCACATGGGGTGGGGTACCATTCTGACACGTCTTCAGCTCTGAAATGGAGTCAAACAGAATGGCTGTTCCAACAGGGGAAAGAGGCCACCCGGCCACACTCTTTGCTCACCAGCTGCAGTCTGGTACAATCATACTTTCAGCTGATTTTTAAAGTTATCAATGCTTTTATGCCAAAATGTTTTGCACACACAGACACACAGGCGACCAAGCTCGGGACACAGTCCTCCCGACTCTCGCAACAAAAGGCATTGGCGGAAAGGCGGGCAAGCGAAGGCCGCCGCAGCAGGCCCGTGACAGCCGCCACTCGGCCACCCGCGCTTTGTCCGGTCCTCCTTCCTCCGGAGGGTGCCGACTCGGCGTCCAGAGTCTTGCCGGGGCAGAACAGCCGGCAGCAGTCCTTTTTCTCAGGCCGCGTCAGAGCCAGAAGACTTGATCCAGTCTGTTGTGGGTGGGGCGGGCTTTTCTTTCCAGCCTGGAAGGAATAACAGTAGATCAGAGCGATGCCTGTTTCCGCACTAAGTCCAGCGTGCCAGGGCAAAGCGTGCGGCCATTCCGGGTCACACGGGCCTTGTTCTGCTGTGATGGGGCGTGGGGTATTTCGTGCGTCCCGTGCTGTGGGCGGGATTTGCCCCAGGGCCAGCTTCAGCTCCTGTGTTTGGTTCTGGCCCCGTACGCTGGGAGAGCCACAAGCAGAGCCGCCTCGGACGAGGGAGCACAGGCCGTGCCCAGCTGCCCAGGGGATGCTCCAAGCAGCGGGCACAATGAATCTGCCCGGGCTGTGGGGCGCCCGGCGGAGGAGGCCCTCCTGGTTCCCCGTGACTGCCGGGCCGGGGCTGGTGCTTTGCTTGTGTCTGGACAGAGCTTGGTCGCCTCCCCCTGCCATCGTTTGGGGGAGGCGTGCGTGGCACAGGTTCTCGCTGCTCTTCACAGCCCCCAGACCCTTCCCCGGCTTTTAGAAATCCCGCTTGTTTAGGGTGGGAGCTATTGGATGCGTCAGTGTCGATGGAAGAGTTCTCTGAAGGGAACCTATACTGAGTTTTGGGCACCACGCTTATGAAATGAAACGGGTTAATCAGATTATTAATCAACTGGAAACGATTCATCTGGTCGAGACAACCCTGCCTGGTGTTGGACTGCGCTCTTCTGCAGCTTGTGCTGTTTTCTCTCAGCCCAGAGCAAGGGATTTCTCGGAAATCCTCCTCGGGCCTGGTCCAAATATTTTATCACCTAAGGCAAAGGCAGAACTGTGTGCGTGTGTCCGTCGCGTCCCAGCTGGTGAGAGCACTGCGCCCTCCCCTGCAAGGGGATGCCCCCCGGCCACCCAGCCGGCGTGCAAAGCTGGCCGGGGGGTGCTCCCCACAGCCCTTGTCTTCCTGCCTGATCTTGCCTTGGCGTTCTGCCCTCTGGACTCTGCCCCCCCTCCCTAGCGGCAGCACCGGCTCTGCCTGCGGATAATTGATTGATCATTGGGACTCCTTGAATACTGTATAGCCTGCAGACCTAATGAATGTAAAAGTCCTTGCCCGCCTGCCCGCCCGCCCGCCCGCCCGCCGCTGTCTCTATCTAGGCAGCTTCAGGACACCTGGATCCTGTCGGGAAGTTGACTCAGCTGACTTCTGCTGGAGAGAGCCGGTGAGGGGTGAGGATGACCGGCTTGCTTCAGAATACTGCAAGCCAGGTGACTCACCGATGTGAACAGAAGCCATGAGTCATCCAGTTCAGTGATAAGGAAGGATTGCTGCCTCTCACACTTGGCAGTGGCTGAGAGAGCAGCATCCTCTGCAGGTCAGAAGGAAGAGCAAAGAGTGGGGAGGGAGGGATGTGTGAATTGCACTTCCTTTTAAAGCTCGGAGCGACCCTGGAGCTTGCCTGACGCAAGACTGGCCTCAATCCATCGAGCCCAGTGTTGTCAGCACGGACTGGCAGCGGCAGCTCTCCAGGACTCCAGGCTGGGTTTCTCTCTGGCCTCAGCTGGAGATGCCGCAGGAGATGGGCTGCCCACCCCCCACCTGCAAAGCAGGTGCTCTGTCCCGGGCCAGTCGCTTCCTTTGGAAGCTGGTGTGATCCAGACTGCTGCAGTCCTGGATTATGCTGTTCCAGATAAGCTTATCTGACAGAGCAGCCCTTTGTGTATCGTTGTTACATGGAGAGACGTTGGCGTTCTGGCAGAATGTTGGAAATGGGTCAACATTTAAGATTCCACACCGCCCCCCCCCAAAAAAAAAGCTGGAGCAAAGACCAATGAATGTCCTTGTTGGATTTTTCTTTTGGGACTTGGGAGAAGTGACAAACAAGGACGTCCACTTTCACCCCAGATGCTTGACTTCAGTTCGTGAGCTTTGGGGTGCGCCAGGAGACAAACTGTCGCGTGCACAGATTTGTGTGAGATCACGTCTAATTCAGAAGTATTCTTCATGCTGGTTTTATTTACCGTTTATCCGAGACTTGTCCCAGCTTTGATGCAGGTGGTTATGAACGCATTGAATGATTCGTTAGGCTATTCAATTAAGTGCACAAAGACTGAATTGATGCTGACTGGAGATCCTATATCTCACGGTATATTAGCTAATTGGCTGTTTCCATGGTGCCCAGGTTCTGTTACTTATTTGGGAATACTTATTCCCGGAGACGTCTCCCGAATGGCCAAGGTGAATTTGAGCAAGGGCACAATCCTGGACGGCTGCCCATAATCCTTTGAGCTCGGAGGGGTACAAGCAAACCACCGTGTGGCCTGGGGAGTGTGGGGAGGGCTCTCCTGCTCTGTAAGCCAGCCTCCAGCCGTGGTACTTCAGCCGTGGTACTTCAGGAGAGGCGGGAAAGAAATGAGGCTGGAGAGCCTCCAGGATGCAGCGTGGCGCGTGGCCTTGCTCTCCTCCCCAGCTTGTCCCCCAGGTGGCTCCCTTTCCCTGCTCTCCAAGGTTGCTCTTCAGACCTCGGAGAAGCAGCCGGCAAGGTGCTTTCCAAGGCAGGGAGGGGATCCAGGGTGGATCCCAACTCTGAGATTGGAGCACTGTCCATCCGCAGAGCTCAGAATCCCAAGAATCCTGTGCTCCACCAAGGTGCTGGCTAGGGGGTAATAGGATTGCTCTGCACGCTGAAGAATGCGTTGAGTCTATGGGGCATGGGGAACACTCTTAATACGGACATGGTGCTGAGCATTCTCTGTGGGATTCTGCAATTTATACCTGGCGGGTCTTTTCACAAAGCTAACGCGCTCTTCCATATGCTGCTTCTGTGGGGTTCCTCCCCATAGGAATGTGTTTGAAAAGGTCATAGTTTCAAGTCAAAGAACATATGTTTGGCCTTCCCGATCTTGCTTTGTATCATAAGGCTGATTTGTTGACCAAAGCGCTGGTCTTGTTCATGCAGATTGGAGGGTCCATCTGGGGCAGGTTTGGGCTCTTTGTGCCTGGACCCTCTCCAAGCGGACGGTGTGAGGTTCTCGGCACAATGCACTCCTGCAGAAACGGCGATGAGAGAGGCCTGGTGTGTCGTTCCACATCTGTTGCCGTTGGACTTACTTTCCCATCCCGAGTTGATTCAGTGGGGAAATCCAGATTTAAAAATGAGGACGCAAGTCAGAGTGCATGCAGGCAGTGGACACGGACAGGCGAGCTGATCTGGGGGCGAGCTCTTGATGAGTTTTTGTAATTCCCGGTCACGATTCACCTGCCGCAGCTGAACGGCAGTGTTGTCCCTAAGCTGCGGGAGGCACTCGTTGGCGTCGCTCCGTTATGCTGGCCCACGACCCAAGCTCATTAATGCTTATTATCAGCAAATGCATTCGGCGCATCGAGTCTTGCACAGGGATGGATTAGGGCCACAGGGCCGCCCTGCTCTGCCTGAACAATGGATCGTTGTTTTCATGCCTGCCTCAGGAGAAGCAGCAGAGCTTAGACAATGCCTTCTGTGGCATGTATGCCTATTGTCTTGTGTTTACTGGTTGCCACAATCTCTTTTTAATACAGGCTTGTATTGAATTTATACCCTATCCTTTGCCCTGCGAGAAACCAAGGCAGCTTACAGAAACCCCCCGCTCTTCCTCTCCATTTTATCTTGCCCGTAACCCTGAGAAATTGGCTAGGGGGCCCAGAGCCACCCAGTGCGACCCGAACCCTGGTCTCCTGAGTCCCAGATTAACCCTTTGGCCACGGTGCCGCAGTGGCTTCTGCCACCCACCCATGTCAGGGTCCTGCCTCCACTCGACCGAGGCCTGGGCGCCCCATCACACCAGAGGTTCTGAGGGCCAGCCAGGACTTCACTGACAACTTTAAAACCTCTCCCTTTGGCCAGGGGCATCATTGTCCTGGTGGAGGGTTGATACTTCTGGCAGCCCATTCTTCTGGCTCCCGTTTCCCTTCTCCAGCTTCCACAGGTCGAGCCGTAGCATTTCGGTCATTGCTACCTTTACACCCTGAAGAATTAATCTTCCTTTCTTGTGGCCTTTCAGTGACTACTTACCAAATGCCCAAAGAGGTGATAAAGGTGGCCCGCGGGATGTATAACGTTTGCATAAACCACTTTTTCTCCACCCCCCCTTCCGCCCCAATCTTTGTCTCCAACCTTTCTGGTCTCTGCAGCTTTCACTTTTTTCGACCCAAACGACCCGGCATGTCAAGAAATTCTGTATGACCCCATCACCACGGTCCCAGAGCTCTTTGCAATCATCCGCCAATGGGTCCCGCAGGTACAGCACAAGATCGACATCATCGGCAATGAGGTGAGCGGTGGGGGCAGCTTGGGGAGTGAGATGCAACCGGCTTGGCCCACTGGCTCTCAGCCCCCCCACCAAAAAAAGAACAGGCAGTGGCATGGAAAACTCAGCCCCAGGTGTGGAAGGCGTGTGAGGGGGGCACTTACAGCGAGCACCTGTAAGTGCCAGCCCCCCCATCCCTCCACGGCTGCCACTGGAAGAAACGGAGTTGCCAGGGGGCCCGGAACTGAGCCCCAGGCCGGTGGCACGGAGGGCGACCGTCTAAGAAGCCCTTGCTTAATTCACAAATGCAAAACACCCAGAGAAGATTCCCTGCAGCGCTTCCTCTGGAACCTTCACACATTCTGTGCGTAAAGGAAAAATACTGCAGGAACAGTGGAAAGGGTTGCAAAAGCTGCAGGAAACTTTAACCCCAGCACATCCACTCTGTCAGCAAACTTGGGAGCAACCTCCCCACTCCCCTGCCGGGCCTTTGAGCTCCTCTTAGTTCCTCTTCTTTTAGCCCCACAGACCCCCAAAAGCTCAAATGTAGATTAAGCACAAGACTAAACCCTGATTTCTGCCCCCCCCCCCCCCCCGCACCACAGAGAGTCCTGCAGATTCCCTCATGCCCCACCAGCGGACATGGTGTGGCCCAGGAGGTGAAACTGGCCCAGGCCTCGTGCCCCAAAGAGGGTGACAAGATAAGAAGGGGAATTTTCCAGGCCTCCTGTGAAATCCCACGGAGAAGCCGGGGCAAGTGTAGGCTCTGGGAGGAAGTACATCAGGGCCCTGAATAGTCCAGGGGGCAAGGAAGCGAGGGGAGGTCTTCCTAGATACTATGATCAGCCCCACATGTAAGCGGGATTTTTGCTGCTGGCAGGAGTTGAGCCTCAGGAGCCCTTTCCGGTTTGAGTTTTCTGCTTTGCCTCATGACAGGCAGCTCCCATCCCAAGCCCAAAGGAACTTTGTCACTATTTCATATTTTCCTCCTTAGCAGGATCTTTGGCTGGGAGGGATAGAAGAAACAGTGGAAAAACACAGAGGGGCTCAGAGAGGAGAGAGTTGTCCTTTTGATTGCCTTGTAGGATTCTGTGGCTGAGACGCAGGCCGGGCTTAACTGCATGGATGGACTCCTGTCCGGAGCCATCCTCAATCCCATGTGCCTCCCAGATCCACAGCTGATGGGCGACTGCTGGGGGGGCGGGTGCCCAGAGGCCCTTTTATTATCCCTGGACCAGCATCCCCCTTGGCCTCTTGCCTCTTCCAGATCCTGAAGCGCGGCTGCCACGTCAACGACAGGGATGGCCTGACGGACATGACTCTGCTTCATTACGCCTGCAAGGCGGGAGCACACGGTGTGGGTGAGCAGAACCGCCGAGCCTGCCCCAGGTGCCCCTCCGGCCTCCTCCCGGGTCGCCCAGCCCCACCGGACCTCCCCGGAAATCCGACCGGAAGTCCTGGTTTAAGCCCTGCAAACTGCCTTTGTGTCTGTCCTCTTCCGCGTTGACCCTCGTGTCGATACAGCAGCGCGTGGCTGGGGATCGCGAGGATGTGGCCGTGCTGCCCCCCGGGTCACGGCAGCTCTTGGGCTGCCTCTGGTCCTTTGGAGGGGCAGGACAGAGGGAGGGAGGAGGCGAGGAGGGGCAGAAAGGGCGGGTGTAGCGGTCCAGAGAGCTGAATGGGAAGAGACGGCGGGGGAGCAGGGGAGATGCTTAGCTTGCAGAAGCAGGGAGGCAGGGAGGTGATCTTCAGATTCCTGAAAGGCTGCCCCCGTATGCCCGGAGGAGGGACGCAGTCATTTCCCTTGCGGTGGGAATGCTGCAGGGAAAGGTGGGGGTTTGTTGGCGCATCCTCTGCTCCGCTCCCCTCCCGTCCAGGGGACCCCGCTGCCGCCGTGCGGCTCTCGGAGCAGCTGCTGGCCTTGGACGCGGACGTGACCCTGCGCAGCCGCTGGACCAACATGAGTGCCCTGCATTACGCGGCCTACTTCGACGTGCCCGAGCTCATCCGCATCCTGCTGAAGGCCTGCAAGCCGAAAGGTGCGTTGGGGAGGGCGGCGAGCTTCCCCGGGTGGCGAGCGCGTCCACCTGCTCACCTGCTCACGGAGTGCAGCCTGGGGTCAACACGCCGGGTGGATTAATTTATCAACCCGATTGATTGCCGGAAAAGGGGCCCCGTTTTTTAAAAAGCAGCAGCGAGAAAGAGAGATCGGCGTGGCCATTTGGAGAAGCGTTCGTGGCGATTGCGGAGGATGGGTCTCCCTTGGCAGAGGCCTCCCCGGCCCTGATGCTGGCAAGGAAGCCCCTCCGGAGACACTGGGGTGCTGACGTGCTGCCCCTAGAACTGTGAAAGGGCAGTATCCATCTGCGTGCAAAGATGATTGATTGATTGATTGATTGGTCAGCGAGATTTCTTTACCTGGGTGGCAGACCAATCTTTTGGTGGCAAAGTGAATGGATTTCTGTTTGTTCTCACATTTTCAAAGCAGGTTTCTGTGTGAGTGGGGATTTTAATTGACATTAACCGATGGTGAATACAGAACCAGGAAGTGGTAACTATTCAAGCTTTTGGGATCAGGCAGTTGTCCCTTGATGGTTATTTTACTACGTTTACATTCCACCTTTTCTCCTTTTGCAAGGAAGCAAAGCTAACTCACATCGCCCCTCCTCCTCTCAGTTTTATTCTCATAATTCTGAGAGTGACGGAATGGAAAGGTTCTTGCATCGGAAGGGCTGTCCAGCCACGTTGTGCCATTTCAGGGAGAGTGTCGGGCACATTTTAAGTTAAAGCCCTTCGTATTTGAGCACAGTTCCAAACTCTCAAACAGAATACAAACGTTTAGGCTTTTGAATAATCCTTCACTATCTTTTTCCCCTTAGAAGAAGAAAACAAGTTGCTAGTCCTTAGTAACAACAGGTTTATAAAGGTTTATAGCCCCTTTGTAATGAGCTCCGGTTCATAAAACTGAGCATCATTACTATGGCTGTAAAAAGCAGACAGGCAGTTTCTGGCCCTTGTTCTCTGGGGACTCTCACTCCTTGGCAACCTCCTGTTGGGAGACACAACGATTACCAGACTCCCTGCCACGTTCCAGCCTCCGCCACGTTCCTTGTTGAAAAAAGCAGGGTCACACCGAGCCACTCCAGAACCTGTTTTCAGCAGCAGTGCTTGGCCCCCAAATACTCCAGAGTGGCAGTGTGGAAGATGGGAGCTGATGGGCCAACTGGAATGCAGAAATGTCGGCCAAATGTAGGAGCTGGGCAGGTTTCCTGGGAGCCGTCGTGGACAGAGGACAGCAGAAGGTCTGACCGGGCCAGTGGGGGAACAGCCAACTCGCTCTCCCTGCCCACAGTTACCTCATTCGGCCACAGTGCCTGAGGGCCTGAGGGGCCAGCCCCACACAGAGGGGGAAGCGGCCTGCCAGGCCAGCACCCGGCCACACATCCCCGCAGCGTGGCCCCCACCTCTTCCTTGCCCAAGGCCTGGTCAGCTGGGAGTGGATGTCAGGCGTGAACTGTTTTTTCATGGGGTCAGCTCCCATGGACCTGTCCCTCCCTTCCTTTCCCAGTTCTCAACTCCACGTGCAGCGATTTCAACCACGGGACCGCCCTGCACATCGCCGCCTCGAACCTGTGCCTGGGGGCCGTGAAGTGCCTGCTGGAGCACGGGGCGAACCCCGCGGTCAGGGTGAGGAAGGAGGGCGCGGGGTGGACAGGCTGCAGGGGCCAGGATGGGACCCGGCACTCCCACCGGCCCGGAAGGCCCTCTTCCTCCGCTCCGCCGGCTGCCCACCTGCCTGGGGAGCACCTGGGGAGGGGGCCCGTGCCCACGGCAGCCTCGCGTGCGGGAAGAGGCTGGGCCTGGCGCACGACCTCCGCCTCTCGCCCCCCAACAGAACAGCAAGGGCCAGACCCCGGCGGACGTCGTGCCCGACCCGATGGACATGACCCTGGACAAGGCCGAGGCCGCCATGGTGGCCAAGGAGCTGAAGCAGCTGCTGCTGGATGCCGTGCCGCTGAGCTGCAACCTGCCCAAGGTCACGCTGCCCAACTACGACAACATCCCGGGCAACCTCATGCTCATCGCCCTGGGCCTCAAGCTGGGGGACCGCGTCCTGGTGGACGGGCAGAAGGTGAGGCGGCCCGGGCGCCCCTGCCGCTCCCGGGCTCCCCCAGCCCCGAGCGGCCCGGTGGCGGCCTCGACCCCGGGGCCCCCTGCCGGGCTGGGGCTGGGGCTGGGCCGGGGGCCGAGCGCCGCTGAAGAGGCCGCGCCGAGTGCCGCTCCTACGACGGGAGGTTCTGTGTGCGGCCATGCAAAAGCCGTCCTCAGCCTGGCACAGGTGTCGAGCGAGGGCTTCCGGAGCATGTGCAGACTGCTCGCCGCTCATCAGGCCGGTGCGGCCGTGGAGGGTGCGTGTGTCGCCCCTCCTCTGACCTTGCCCGCCTTCCCCCGACGCCTCCCGGCGCCGCTGCAGGTGGGCACCTTGCGCTTCTGCGGCACCACGGAGTTCGCAAGCGGCCAGTGGGTGGGCGTGGAGCTGGACGAGCCCGACGGCAAGAACGACGGCAGCGTGGGAGGCATCCGCTACTTCATCTGCCCTCCGAAGCACGGTAACGGCGCACGGGGCTGCGTGCAGCTCGCACCCGGGGCCGGGGCTTCGCTCCCCCTGGCTGGGTCTCCCCAGGGCCAGCAAACGGGGGCAGGCTGATGGGAACCCGGAGTGCGGGCGTGAGGCGGCCTCTCTTGGGAGCCTTTCGGGAGACTCGGGCCGGGGAGCCGCTGTGGCCCGACTGGAGGGGCTGGTGACAGAGTGGGGCGAGGCAGCCCGTTGCCCAGCGGCAGGCCGAGGGCCTGGGGCCGTGGGGGAGAGGAGCGACCCCGGGCCGCGTGTGCCTCCGGGGCCGTGGCGGGAGGCGGCCCGGTGGGTGTCCTGGAGGGCCGTCAGCGGCCGCTCGGCGGGCTCCGCGTGGGCACGAGGCACAGTGCGGGTCCCGGTGCCTCCACGCCGGGGGCCTTTCTTCCCTTGCCTCCGCAGGACTGTTTGCCTCGGTGTCCAAGATCACCAAAGCAGCCGACCAGACGCCGTCGTCGGTGACCTCCACCCCCCGGACCCCCCGCATGGACTTCTCCCGCATGACTGCAAAGGGCCGGAAGGACAAAGACAAGAAAGGTAGGCGGAGGCTGCGAGGTGGGCGGCGGGGGACCCCCAGGACGCCCGGCATTTCCTCACACGCCTCTGCTGCCGGCCGAGCGACTCACCCCCTAGACTGTGCGCAGGGCGGGTGTGCAAGGCGGGGGGCGGCGTGGGTGTGCAGGAAAGAAGGGCCGGGGCTCAGAAGCGCAGCTGGGGGAGAGAGCCAGGAGGGCTGGCATCCACGCCTGGATCTTCCCGGGGCACTTTGCCTGGCGGGCAGCTCCATCTACTCTTCCTAGCCTGGCCCTCCAAGCAGCTGCCTCTGGCCCCGGAGCAGCATGGGGGCTTGAGAGAGTGCCCAGGCCTCCCCCGCCCCCGGCAGTGCCTGGCAGCCTGCGGAGGGAGGAGTTGGCGCCAGGCCTGCAGAAGAGGCCGGAGGGGAACCCAAACGGGGGACCGCAAGGGCCGGTGCTGTGGACAGGCGGGCCGTGCATCGATTTGAGATGTGCGGCTGTAGGGCCTGGATGCCCGTTTTTCCTGCAAAAGAGCCTCTGAAGGGATGCGGGAACAGATTGGGAGGGGTTGCGCCCACCCCCCAAATGCCAAAGCCAGAGAACTCAGAGAGAAGCGGGGTCAATTAAAGGAAGCCAGCTTTGAACCCCGGGGAAAACTTGGTGAGCGTGCGGAGGAGGAGCTGGGCAGGCCCGGAGCACTGACGCCGGGAACGCGAAGAGCACAGGCTGGCTGAGAAGCCCCAGTGCGCCCAGCGCCTGACCGTTAAGCAGGATGAAGCCCTGTGCTCCTTCCGGTTGGGAAGGCAGCGGGGCTGCTCAGCTGGGGCCTGCGTCTTACAGGGTGGCTTTTCTTTAATGGCCGGTACTCTGGCTTCCCCTTTCCTTTGTTCCCGACTTCTGGGTGCTCTTCTTTGGTCCTGCAAAGCCAGCCTAGCTGGGTGTCTTTAACATAATGAGGCCTTTGTGTTAGAAAGTCTTTGCCCTGCTGTGCTTGGGGAGAAGAACAGCCCAGAGAAGGGCTCAGGTTTGGCTGCGGGTATTTATTTAAATATGAATGGGAAATGGCATTTTCCAGCTACTGAAGTAGCACAGTGCAAATGCCCAGGAATGAATACTTACACACAGACTGTCCAGGAGCAAAGGACAACCAAAGAATCAGGGGGCAGCACCCTCTCCTGGATCAATAAACAGAATGAACAGATTTCAGACCAAAAGCACTGCCTCTCACTCCTCTCTCCCGTCTCTCCAGCCCTCAGGAAGAAATCCTTGTCTGTCGGCAGCTTGGATCGTGAGGGCCTGAAGATTGAGATCGGGGATCAGGTTCTGGTGGCCGGGCAGAAGCAGGGCATCATCCGTTTTTACGGGAAGACAGACTTTGCTCCAGGTAAGCAAGGCAGGTGGGGATGAGGACTGTGGCTGCCTCAAAGGAGCTTCAAGAGTCCTGTGCACACACTCGCGTCCATAATCCTAAAGCAGGCCCAGGTCTGGACTAATCCTAAAGCAGGCCTCACAAATGCCACAGACTCATGCAAATGGGAGAAAAGGGGGCCTGCATCACACGGATGGAGTAAAAACTAGAGCAGCTGCTCTCCGGAGCTAAGGCGGTAGTCCTCAGTGCTCGAATCTGGAAGTACGTCTCTGGAAACCTGTGAGGGCCAATTCTCTTAGGGCGCCCACCATCGGAAACCCCTTGCAGCCGACCCCGTGCAGCTCTCCTTGCTGCCTCGCCCTGCTGCGGCATGTGGGTTCCTCTTCTGGATCGGGCCAGGCCAGCCGGGGTGGTCCGGGTCTGGCTGCAGCCCTTGCAGCCTCAGAGCCAGCCGCCCACTGGGCAGCATCGTGGCCTCTGGCCCCCTCCCATTCTTCCGGGACCCCTGACGCTCCCGGCCTCCTCGCGCCAGTCCCGTCCCCGGAGCTATTGTCCCTCGGGCCCAGGTGAGCTCTTATGCCGAGGCAGGCCCGAAAACGTTCCCGCCCTCGCAGGAACCGGTCACGGTCCTTGGGGCACCGGCGGTGCACCTGCTTGCGAAGAGGCCATGCCAGGTCGTTGGCTGATCCGGTGAGGCGGCGCGGCTGCTTCGTCGCCACAAGCAAAATGCAGCGTCGGGCTCGATACAGATAAGGACAGACTAGATGGCCTGGGAGCCCCCTTCTGACTCGTGCGGTTTCTCTGTTTCTGCTTCCTCCTTCCCCGCCTCCCCGCAGGCTACTGGTTCGGCATCGAGCTCGACAAGCCCACGGGGAAGCACGACGGCTCCGTCTTTGGGGTCCGCTATTTCACCTGCACCCCTAAACATGGAGTCTTTGCCCCTCCTTCCAGAGTCCAGAGGTGAGTTGGGCAATTTCAGACGCCAGAAACGTGTGAGCTGGGAGCAGGGAGAGCGGCTGGAGGCGTGTCGCCGTCTCCTCTTGTGTCCAGCGGCCCACTAGTCCTGCCCGTGTGGGTTTAGGGGGTCGCAAGCCCCGAGCACTCCTTGCACGCACGAATTCAGTGCGCGGTGGGCACAAAGCGGAGGAGGGCGGGACTTGCCTGGCGTCATGGGCGCCCTGATGGCGGTTCTGGCTCCAGAGGGGGTGGGGGTGGGGAGGAGGCATCCTCTCGATCAATGGGAAGACTTTCGTGGGGCTTCAACGGGGAGTTCATTGCGCCCTTCTCTGCTGCAGAATCGGAGGCCCGAAGGATTCCCAGGGAGACGGCACTTCAGCAAAGAAGGTCCATCAAGTCACGAGTAGGTACACCCCGGACGGTGCTCCTCGCCGGTTCCCTCCACCTGGGTCACGACACCGTGACCCCAGGCTGAGTCAAGTGCTGGGGCGAGCAAGGCCGTAGTCCAGGGTGCCAGGAAAGCAGAAACGGCACGGCCGCATGCGGTGACCTTGCCCATCCCGTCACCAGTGACTGCCCCTTCAGGGTGGCCTTTGGAGGACTGTCCCTGACTGGCCATCCCATCTTTTAAAAAATCGCAACAGAAATGTATGCAGCTTTGCTTTCTTTTTAGCTGGACGTGCACAAGTTTGCATTCGTGTGGCTTCCAAAAAGCAGCAGCTGCAGCCAGGTCTGTGCCCGGGGGACTCTGCCAACCCCAGGCATTGATCCACATGGGGCGCCAATCCCCCCCTTTACCCGTTGCTGACCACTGACGGATACCCAGGGGTAGCAAAGGCTGCATTATACTTCATAGTATGATCCTCGTGTTTCTCATGTTTGCACTGACGGTCCCCAGATGGGGCCTCCAAGCCTCCAGCTGCTTGCAGAAGCCTCTCCCACCTGCTTTTCTAGTGGAAAGGAATCTTGAAACTCTGGGTCCCCTTTTGGAGGGGTTTTTACAAGACTGTGAATGGTTCCTGAACCGACATCCAGCTTTTACATCTCTGGACAAAAAGCACAATTTGGTGCACAAAAAACCTAAAATGAAACGGGGGGGGGGGGTTAACTGGGCCTGTTTGGGCACTTTGCAGGGGCTGTCAACTGGAGATTGTGAAAGGTGAGCTCCGAAAAAAGAGGAAAAGTTTAAATAGGGAACGATGCTGCGGGAAGCCAAACATGAGGGACAAACTGAGCAGGTTGTGGGAGCGACTGGTCTTGCCGCCGTGTCCCCTGGTAGACCTGTGGTGCACTGGCTGGAGGAGGGGTGGGCTGGGAAGGCAAGTACCATTACCTGTTGGGATCACCACAGGTGGTTCTTGGAGCCATGGGGGGGGGGGAGATTTGGTACTTCCTTTAGGAGCCACTGGGGGAAGCCGAGACCTGAACTGGCCCTTTGGAGCTATAAAGTGGGATGCCAGACCTGGGCACCTCATGAAAACAAAAGATCCATTTTCCTTTCATTTCCAGAGAATAATTTTGCACCTTCGCAACACAAGATTGGGGGGAATGGCTTGAGATTTAAACTGTTTATTCTCCAAGAGGGCATGTGTGATCTCTTCCCCCCACAGATGAACAGCTAAAAAAATGTCGCTTCTGGCAGGAGAGGAACAGCCAGCTACATGCGTGGGAGGAGAGGCCATCCTCCTCTGGCGCTCTCTCCTTTTCAGTTTTTCAAAGCCTTTTGCCCTGCTTTCCTCTCTTCCACAGTTTCACAGCCAAAGCGCAGCTTCACAGCAGTCAGAACCCCGAAAGACATCACATCGGAAAGCTCCATCTCTAGGTAAGAGCAGTCGGCAGACTAGCTGAAACCCTCGGGACCCGGCTGCATGGTTTTGATGTTTCATGCCTTCTCTAGGCCAAGGCTTCTCTTGGCAGCCTTGGAAGGAAAATAGCCAACGGGTGGTGCCACGGACAGGCTTCGGCCAGGCGCGGGGTGCCGTCGAATGAGCACTTTGCCGCTCAGGGGTGCAAGCAGGCAGTTGTGGTGGGCTCGTGACCCGGAAGGCACTATCCTAGGCATGTTTAGGCAGCAAAGGGTCCTGTAGCTCCCAGTGCTTTGCAGCCAGTTATAGGACACTCTTCTCGCTCAACAGGCAGAGGATCGTATCTTGAACAGGTTAGTGGAGGGTATGAGTTTAGCAGCTGAGTTTAGCAGGTTTCGGTGCATGACTTAATCCTAGCACATCAGGGTTTTGCGATAAGGGAAAAACCCTCTGTATTAAGCAGAACAACCGCTCCCAAATCTAAGGCAGAAATACTAAATGTGAAAGCAAGATACTGGATAGCTGGCAATCCATGCCTTGAAATAGGTTACAAATAGAGCATTCCCTTTTAGAAGATGTAATTCGCTGTTGCTTGGTTGTAGTATACTCATATGTAGCTGAGAAGGGGCATGTTTCCAGTTTGTGTCTTCCTGCCTCCTCGGACATCATGGCTGTGAGGAAGAAACTGGGAATGGTCCATTCCTATTATTACATCGGAAAGGGATGAACTGTGGCGAGTATAACACAGAGGCAGGGAACCTGGTGCCTTCCAGATGTTTTGGATGACTCCCAGCAATCACAGCCAGCATGGCAAATGCTAAGTTGCCTACCTCTGTAAACTACAGTTTATAAACAAGCCAGGATCATAAATCATGGTTTGATTGTGGTTTCTTGTTAATCCATAGTTTAAACTAACCACAGTTTGACCATTTGAGCATTACAGTAAGCCACAGTTAGCATACACAGGAAGAGGATATGCTGGTGCAGCCATTTCAGCGCTCCCCGATGGCTGCACCAGCAGGGAAGGAGCACACAAGCCACGTAAACTTGTTCTAAACTTGGTGGGAGTTATTCTGTTTGAATTGCTCTGAACTTTGAATTTGGGGCTGCATACATATTTACTGGATTCCGAAATATCGAAATATCATCTGTAAATGGCTTTGAACATAGGAAAACCGAATAAAATACATTTGATTAAAGTGGTCCAATTACTTTAGTAGATGCTTAGGAGTTCATTTCCTGGATCCAAACCCTGCAATAGTCACAAGAGAAATATCTCCACATCTCCTTTTCTCTTCTGCAGGTTACTTTTCTGCTGCTGGTTTCCGTGGATGCTCCGTGCGGAAATGCAGTCTTAAAGCTCCCCACCCCCGTCCTCTTTCTGCTGCTGTTTCTTCGCTTTCCGAGTAATCAAGGACTGCTCTTCTGTTCTTTCCCTCCTCTCTCCTTCCCTGGTTGCCGTTCTAGTGAACCCCAGTGCCTTGGTCAAACATATAAACACCATCCCTTCTGGTAGTTTGTGAGAAATGCGATGCGTAGACCTTCTGTTCCCCTTTTCCTGGCACACGTACCCACAGGACTTTGGCTATCTAGGTCTCTTCTGGCACCTCTTCTTCTTCCTGGATTAATTGGCAACCAAAATTCATATGATTTATCAACCCTGAGTTTTGCAATCGGGCGACGGCTTGGAGACAGGTCCTCTGATCATTTCTCCTTGCAGGGTATAGAAAAATCTGCCTTTGGCAAAATTTGTCACACATGCAAATCACACATTGTTACCCGGGTGGGAGAAGCATTGCTTGTGTCGGCACAGAGTGACAAGCCAGAATTCTGGAGAACAGGTTCCGTTTACTCCTGGTTTTCCCAAACGAAGCTGGATGTGGTCTGTTTACCTTGTCATTTGAATGCTGGCTTGTTGCTGCCAAATGACCCAGGAATTTAAATTAAGACCAACGCCTGGGGTACAATCTTGGCTTGTAAACAGAGCAACGAGCTAGGACGCAGGTTGCAGGTCGCAGGGCCTGGCACGAGCCATGGATAGGTCACTTCTTTTTGGTCATGCGTACATTTGGCAGTCAGAGGAATTATCCTGAGCAAAACAGCTCCTTAATTTCTGAAGAATGTTTCTGAGGCCCGGAGCCTAGAGCTCTTCTTTGTAAAAGAAGATGGGGCAGGTGCTCCATCACTTGATTTAAAGTGATCCCAGTTAACGGGAGCCGAGTGCACCAGCACCGCGCTTGCGCTCCAGAAAACGGCTTACCCCTCCGTGGAACTAGCCTAGGATCTGTCCTCTGCCCTTTTCCCACGTTGCCCCCCTTTTAGCCGTCGCCTGCAAAATGCTGCCTGATAGAAGCTCCTCGAACCAGTCGGTGTGACCCTCCGTGTGCTTGCTCAGCAAGAAAGCCTCACTGAGCGCAGTGGGGCTCACGCGCAGGAAAGTGCATGCAGATTGCAAGCCTGCGCAGGAAGGGGCCCTCCTCACCTGCCCTCGCTTGTGAGTAAAAGGAGCGGGCCGAGACCATCCTCCACTAGCGTCCTCTGGGCAGCATTATCTGTGTTCATTAGTGCTTCCTAATCTGGTGATTAGAGGAAGAAGCTGGAGTACAGATGCAAGAAGACACCTCGACCGAACGTAGTGTATGTTAGCAGCTGTGCTTAGCTTATGTGTGTGTAAGTTAACCTACGGGGAGGAGTAACTAACAGCCTTTGATGGTGTGTAGTATGTGTCTCTCTATGTGTATATCAAACTTATATCTCCAGAAGTCACTTTCCTGAAGAAAAATTGTGTGTGTGTGGAAATATAACTGAATTTTATCTCACTCCTGCATTTATCAGCTGCAACATGTTAGATCCTAATTCATCCTGATAACATTTCAAACACACACGACTTGCTCTGTGATCCCCGTGTTGAGTCTCTTGACGACGATACGTCACGATGTGACGTCTCGACACATCAGAAGAAGCACCTGCAGGCCGGATGGAAAAGCAGCAGCCGGCCCTTCATGCCAAGCGGCTGCACAGAGCCCAGGTTCCCGGCTTCTGATTTCAGTGTGCAGCAGATGCTCGGACTGGTGCAAAAGCGAACTGGAAGCGCAAGGACAAACGTCACAAGCGACAGTCGGTCATCTTTCTGCATCAGCACCTGGCTTTTGTCAGTGAAGCCCAATTTCCAGCTAATGAGAGCGGTAACAAGAGTTTGCACTTTTGCAGTTCCAGGAAATGCATCTTTCACACACCTTAAAATATCTTAAGACTTGGATTCAGACCAGATGGTATCTGAATTCAACAAGGGCACGCATTTTTTTTTATATTTTAAAGGAAGAGGTGTGCCTCATTTCAGGCTGAGCCAAGATTCCAGGACTTTCTCCCAGCTTGGAAGAGAAGTGAAGAACAGACTTCCTACCCTAGTTCCGCCTGGCCCTTGCAAGTCGCTTGCCTGCCCACCGTGCTGCATGCGCTTCGTTTCCTTCCCTACCACAACTATAAACTCAGTTTGGAGGCTGGAAGAAGCATCCTACACATTGGCCAGAACGCCGCCGGGGAAGGAGGCTTGGATTCGCACTCGAGGTGTTCTTCGTCTTCAGCCTTTGCAGTATGTTCAGAAATCCAGCAGGATCAGCCTTTCTAGGAAGAGGCCAGGAGACTGCCACACCTGTTAAATTTCTGTCTGTCATACAGCTGCTGGAAGTCACAAAGCCTCCATCAGGAAAAGCAATGTCAGTGCAAGCAAGGAAGGGTGTTTGGCCCCGAACTCTTGACTGGCATGTAGAGAGAAGATGTTAGCATTCTGGCAAAACCCCAAGTTGCAAACACGTGCAGGCTGTTTGGGAAATGTGCAGATATATTAAATAGTTTCAGCAGTTCTAACCTGTTCCCTTGAATCCGGTGCACCTCATCTACACCCCCCGATTCTCTTGGTTGCTGTGTCTTGGGGTGCCACGACGGCCCCCAGCCTGCTCCGAAAGTTCGCCATCAGCGCATCCCCACACAATCGTACAGGCACTCATTTCACCGCTCGCCTCCGTCGCTGTATTAGCCTTTTAGGAACCCCCTGCAATCTTTCATTGATCAGCAATAACGAAACTCCTCCGTTGACTTCAGCTTCGCGTCAGAAGACTCCCCGGCATGAATCCCACCTTCTAAACCTGGGGCGCCTTTGCTCTCGAACCCCCGTTGGGATGGCCGTGTCATCTTGACGCACCAACCTCAGAAGCAGCCCTTTGCGGGAATCTTTCCGCCATGATCTTTTCCTTTTTCTGTAGGAATCACACTGGTTTGCGTTCTTCCTGCCTACATGTCTATTTTTTAACAAAGCAAATAACTTTGTAAACTGTCGAGTGCGGCGGCTTGCCATGCCTCCCCTGAGCTCTCTGTTGAATCCTGCATGGTTTCTGTCTCCCCCGAGCCCCATCTGTCCAGGCTTGCTGGAAGAAACGAGAAAAAAACGTAGCATGACAAAAATATCACTATGCTATTGCTTACCTGTTACTAACGAATTAATAAAAAGTGTTTCTTTGTGCATGGTGTACGGAGCTCTTCTTTTCTGCATGGTCAGACACGAGCAAGAGATCACCTGGCCCAGCCTCTCCCAACCGGGTGCCCTCCAGGTGCGGTAGAGTACAGCTCCTAGCATCCCCAGCACAGCTGGCTGGGGATGCTGGGAGTGGTAGTCCAGGACACTTGGAAGCTGCCAGATCGGAGGATGCCGGGCCAGATCAGGAGCCGCAGAAGCAGACAGAAGGCAAGACTGCAGCTCTCGGGAGGAGAGGCAGCCGGAATATCGTTCCCGGCACAAGCGGGCTGGCTCTGGGCGAAGGTGGCTTGCATGCAACAGGGCGCCGAGCCCCTTGCAGGGGTCCGAGGGCCAGATGTGCTTCTGGGGAGCTTGGGGTGGGGTTGTTTCAGAGCGGGTGGGCCGAGGCAAAAGAGCAGAGCCGAAGTACGGAGTAGGCCAGCCCGCTTTCAGCCTGCAGTACGCCTCAGGAGAGGCCCGGTGGGTGCTCAGAATGGGGAAAACGCCACGCAGGAGCTAGGAAACCACGAAAGGATGGCGGCCAGCGGACCAGGGAGGGGTGTGGGGCAGGAAAAGGGGATCCGCAGCAGGCCTGGGAGGAACTAGGGGGGCCGGGGAAGGCCTGCAAGCAGCACATCTGGGGCTGAGCAAACCGGACCAGAACCAATGTGGAAATCAGCGGTTCTGCCCCAACTGGAGGAAACGCAGGCCTCCAGAGCGCGGCAGGGCTGTGGAAGAAGCCGCTCCGGGAAAGCACCTCCTGCGCCCCGGAGAGGCCCGCCTGGCGCCGCCGTCGTCTGTTTTTCGGCACCAGGCCAAGGCCTTTTTATTTACAAGTTATTTTAATGGTGAATTCATGAATTGTATTTATTGGTTTTTAGGTACATGCCGAGATGTTTCCGGTTTTCTAAGTCTGATTATATGGCTGTTTGTGTTTGTTTGTTGGTCTTGTAAGCCTCCCCGAGGCTTTTGCGAATGGGGCGGCATAAAGGTGGCTTAAGTAAAGTAAATGAATCATAATAAGCCCCGGGCGGGGGGGGGGCAGCCGCTCCGCCTCAGCCAGGCCGGGCCAGGCGCCCTCTGCGGCAGAGCGCTCCCTGACCGTGCTTGCTAATGCACTTTCCCCCCGGCGGCCAGGTTGGCTTCCGAGGGTGGCCGCCCAGACCTCCCAAGAAAGGGCCCCGGGCGGCTCGGCCTCAAGGCCCGCCCGCTCGGCGCGGCTCGGGCCCGCACGCCCGCATTTTCCGGGCAAAGAAGGGACCGCGAGCGAGGGCAGAGCCGATTGGCTGCCCCGGGGAGAGGGCGGGGCAAAGGCGGGCCCCGCTGGCTGCTCATTGGCGGCGGCGGCTGTCGCTCCGCGAGCACCTGGAAGGAGTAAGTCGAGTCGGGGCGGCGCGAAGGCGGGGAGGGGGGGCGGCGGGGGGCCCGGACGCCTGGGTTCTTTGCCCCTGCCGCTGGCGGGCGGGCGGGCGTGCGGGGCCGGGCGCGGGGGAGGCGGCATCCCGAGGATTGCCCCCGGCCCAGCTCAGCTCCCTCCGCCACGGCCCCAACAGCTTAAGCTCAGGCTGAAATTCACCCGGTCAATCTGGGACCCCAGGTGGGGCTTGCACAGACGCGCGGCTGGGCTTGTGTTGCGTGTCTTTTAAGGAATTTCCACCCCACCCTTCGGGGCGCTTCCAGTTTTTATTTATTTTCATTTTTATGTAATGCATTTTTATATTACCCAGTAGTTGAGGCTCTCAGATGGTCAACCAAAGTTAAAATTTGACAAAAGTTTAAAAGACGTGCACAGAAATTAATTTAAAAGAACAACCATAATTGCAATTGCATGGTTGGGGACTACGGTAGATTAAGATAATAAAATAAGCAACCGCATCTGGTGCAGTGTAATGGACAGTGTTTCCTTGGTAAACATGCACCAGTCCCAAGCTGTCAGCCTAGCCTACCTCACAGGGTTGTTGAGAAGACAAAATGGGGAGAAGAATGGTCGTGTGAGCCTCCCTGCGCTCCTTGCATGTAGAATAAAGGGAGGGCGTAAAAATAAGGGAGCTCCATATTAAAATAAAATCAAAGCTGTTAGTTACAAAGCAAACAGAAGCCATAGAAAGGCAAGCACCCCAGTCCTATGCCTGTTGGGGCAAGAAGAGGCTAGCAGGCCAGATGGCGGAGCTGGCGGAGGTTTCTTGGTCCAAGCAGGCGCAGGCAAGTTGTTTAAACGCCTGGGGAAATAACCTGCTTTTGCAAAGTTGAAGGAGTGGGAGGTGAGGGGTGTCTGTCTCAGATCATTTGCAATCTAAGGATAGCGTGACTTGGGGGAAGGGAACAAAAGGAAGAGGCAGAGCTGGGAGCAGCCGCGCCGGGATGCGCACAGAGACCCCCGTGTGCCTCTCTGCACCCAAGCACTTTGCAGGCACCTCGGCTCTGTTCCCACGACCTGCTGCCCTGCCGATGGTGCCGTGAGCAACGGGAGTTCGGGCTGCGGCTTTGGGACCCCTGAAGAGGAGACGGAGAAAGCCAGTCCGGCTTTGCTTGGCTGCGGGTCCCGGTTCGAACTCGGGGATGTCGGAAAGACCTGCTGGAACCGTGGCCCTGGAGCCCTTTCGCGTCGCGCAGGTACCCGGAGGGTCGGTTGCCGTGGGACCGTGGTGCTTGCCGGCCTACTTAGAGGGGGGGGGTGTGATGAGCAAGTCATTCCTGGCCACCTCTCCGCATGCAATTCTTTATATTTGCGTCTACACAGGTCTGCTAACAGCAAAACAAGCATAATTCTGTGGCACATTTGTTTCTGCCTATTGAAAAGACAGTCGTCGTCATCGCGGCTACAGTTTTCGCTTGCATCTCTACTTACAAACCCCCCGCATGTTTGGGAAGGGATATCTGGCTGCCATGTTAAAAATTAAAGCCAGGTAGAAACATTGGCAAGGTCTTGGTTTTGGCACGTGTGGGCTACTGCTGTGACCGCGCTTGGTCTGTGTTGCGTCCGGACGTGGAATCCCGTGTACAGGTCTGGGCCCCGCACCGCAAAATGGGTGTTGCAGGCTAGGTGGGAGTGCGGGAAAGGACAGCCGGAACGGACCGCTGGAATTGCTGCACAGGCTGGAACAATTCTTGTGAGGACGTTTACATCAGCTGGGATTGTTGAGGTTTAAAAGGAGGTGAATAAAGGGAGGTACAGCCTTATGACAGTGTGCAGAAAGTGGATAGGGAGACATTCCTTCCTCTCTCAGTACTAGAACCCAAGGGGATCATCCTGCAAAACCTCTTGGTGGGAGATTTGGGAAGACCCTTTCTCACAGTGCAGAATCAGCAATGGGATCCACTTTCAGGAGATGTAGTGATGGCCACCAGTGGGTGGTATGGGTTGGACAGATTCATGGAGGAGAAGGTTCTCGAAGTTTTCTAGTCCTCATGGTGCTATGCTGCCTTCAGTATCGGCAGCAGGAGGCCCCTGTACACCCGCTGCTGGGGACCCTGTGTCCGACCTGTTGTGCTTGTGGGTTTCCTGGGTGCAGCTGGTTAGCCACTGGGTGGATGGAATGGTGGCCCTGATCCGGTCCCAGACTGTAAACAGTGTAGACTGTATAAGGTGTGCGTGGGGCTTCCTCTATAGGATTGCCGTTTGGTCAGGGAAATCTGCTGGTGGTTGGGGCCATGGTTCATAAATTGCTTTTGGCTTTAAGAGAAAGCAGGCATTTTGTAGAAGCGGTTCATTTTTCATGTCAAGAACCATCGACCCACGCCATGTCATGCCTAAATATTTCTCGTGGCAGCAGCTAGGAGCTGGGCTTTTCTTTTCCTGTCTTTGGCTAAGACCATTCCAACCATTTTGGGATCCTCCCTTCTGTTTACAGTCTCCGCCGGTTGCCTACTACATTCCCGATTTCATCACGGAGGCAGAAGAGGCGTACCTGTTGCAACAGGTGTGTATTTACTTTAGCCCTCCTGTGGAGTTTTAAGATGTGTTTCGCTAGCCCAGCACCCACCCAGCCAACCCTGTTGTGGTCCTTAATATGTGATGCTCCAAGCTAGACTGCTTCTGAACATGGAAGGTCCACTCTTGGGTGTCGCGGCTGCCAGCGTACATTCAGGAGGATGTAACACACACGTCCTTTGAAAGTCGCATTTATGAGTGCTGATTGTATTCCTTGGGGCGGCATCCAGGCTCTGCCTGCAGCGCGCCCCACTCGACGGTCGTTGTCGTTGCTTCCAGGTGTATGATGCCCCGAAGCCAAAGTGGACTCAGCTGTCGGGACGGAGGCTGCAGAACTGGGGTGAGTGGCTGGGCGAGGAAGGGAGCAAAGAGTCTTTTATTTTGCACCTCGGAGGGGACAAGCGGCTCGGTGCTTGTGCTCTGACTGACAGGCCGCGGTGCGGCTGCTCGTCCTTCGCAGGTTATTTCTAGTTACCCTGGTCTAGTTGTCACCTTCTAGGAAAGCGAACTGGATGCGAGACGGACCGGATGTCCGGGGCTCTGAGCTCCTCAGGGGAAGGACAAGAAAAGGAGCAGAGTAGCACCTGCGGATCCTTTGCCATCTAAGTTTGCACAGGATCGCGCCTTTAAGGGCTTAACGATTGTATCATGGGGGTCTCACAGGAGCAGGGCGCGTGGCGATGGGCTGGGGCCGCCTCCATCGGCCCTGCGCTAGTTGACTCGGGTTCCCCGGATCACAAAAGCTCCCTTCACTCCTTGCAACGTGATTAAAGGCCACTCCTGAACCCCGGCTTGGCAGGTGGACATGTCCGGGGGAAAGGCGACTCCTTGGGAGCAGGAGCTCCAGCGTGAAGCTGGCTGTGCGTAGCAAGATGGCGACGCTCTTTCACCCCATGGCCAGACCCCATGGCCAGAGGGGCTCCTGGTGGCCACATTCCTGCGGGAGGGCAGGGCCAGGGGAAAGGGGGCAAGTCCAAAATAGGAAATTCGGCATATTTTAGTTTAAATCTCCTGCTGCTGGTAACTAAGCCTCCAGGGAGGCCGTTTGGCCTTTTAGAAATATCATGCAACCCCCTCCCCCCAAAAAAACAGGAAACCACCACCAACATTCAGTGGGTGGGGAGGGGGAGTCAAGGGGTGCGGCCGCCCTGCAGACCCCCCAAAAGGCCCACAGGACCTTGAAGAACTGGAAACAACACTTCAAACCAGAACTTTTAAAAAAGGGAGGGGATCTCATGCAGGCTGAGACAGCAAAACATCCTGGAACTCCCAGCATGACCTGGTTCCTCACTCTTCCCACTGGAGCATGCTGGGAGCTGTAGTCCTTCCTCCTTTTTCCAAAATATGCATGGCAGTTTGGCGAAGGGTGTTTCCTGGCGGGGCTTTGCTTGCGCCGCCGTTGCCCAGGACTTCAGCACTTCCAGATATCCTCCCTTGAACCGGTGTTTTGCTGCCATTTCTCCCTCCTCTTCTGAAGGGAAAAAAATACACTATGAAGGAGGAAAAGATGGACTGCTTTGGCTGGAAGTTGTCCAACTAGAGGAACCAAACCAAACAGTCAAAGAGAAACTTGAAGCAGCTTTTTTTATTTCGTAGTAATAGTCATGTTAGTCAAACATGGAACGGGAGCCAAGACAAATCCGCCTTCCCTGCAGGGCTCCACCCTTCAAGGGGAGCCATAAATCATGTTAAAGACATAAACGAGGCCTTCTGTCTCCTTCCCCATCCAAGTCTTGCTGTGGGTGTAAGAAGGGGCCGCACGGTTCTCCCCAGAGCGATTTGGCCTGTTTTCCCGGCCTCTGTTGTGCAGCAAGCAGCTCGCGAGGTAAACAGTTACGAAGGTCGACATGCCTGCGATCGTGGGCTTTTGGTTCTCTTCCAGTCTGGAAATAGAAGTATTTCTCACCAGCGCATCAGAAAGGCCTTGCGGGCGTCAGGCAGGAGGACTGTCCAGGCCAGCCCGAAGTGGCCACCCAGGGGCTTCTGGAAGAGGGCTTGTGGCCCGCGACTCTCCTTGCCCTCCGTTACCTAGCAGGAAATGCCATTAGTGGCATCTCGCCCCTGAACCCCCCAGGTGCCTGCAGCCATCTTTGCAAATCCCTCGTCAACTTCAGTGGGTTTGTCCAGGCCCCTTTGAAGCTTGAAGGGAGAAAGATGCCAGCTTTGTTTTGTTTTGGGCATGATTAAGACATGGGTCTCTGTCCTGGCATAAAGCATCCTCATTATTTTAAGAGCTGTGAAGGCGTGAGAGACGAGGGGAGCACCAGAAACCCAGGAAAAGGGGAATGAGCAGCATGTATTTTTCCAGAGCTCCCTGGGAAAAGTTTTTCCCCCTCAGGGGTTCTCATCCTGTTTTTTTCTGGGGATTCGTCCTCCGGGCTGTCACCTCTTCGCACACGCCACTAAAGGAGGAGATGGGTTGGTCGACTGAACAGTGAAGCCAAGCCACCGGTCTGGGGTCATCGTCTCCAGCACCTTGCACTCTTTTGGGGAGGGGGCCTGTGTGGCCTTCTCTCCGGCACCCCACTTTTTCTTCTTTCATGCGCCCGGGTTTGCGGGTACCTCAGCCTGTGGGAGCCCGGGCACACCTGCGGCCCCTCCGCCTGACTCAAAGCGACGAAAGCTCCCCCCGCTCTTTCTCCTTGTGGAAGAACCAGCCCGGCAGCTCGGCCTCCATCTCGCCATTTCCGTGCTGCCTCCTTGGCGGCTTGCCACGCACCCAGGTGAACGGAGCAGGAGGGGAGCCATCTTACTCAGGGCGCAGGCGGCTCAGCGGCGCCGCTTCGCTCGTGTGAGGAAGCCCTCAGAGCCCCATCCGTGCTGGAGCGGCCTCTCGGGTCCTCCGCTTGCCGCAGCAGCCCTCTTTCCTCCGCTCCCTGCAGGTGGGCTGCCCCACGCGAAGGGGATGCTTCCGGAGACGCTGCCCTGCTGGCTGCAGCTCTGCCTGGACAAGGTGTCCCCCCTCGGCCTCTTCGGAGGGAAGCCGGCCAACCACGTCCTGGTGAACGAGTACCGCCCTGGCGAGGGCATCATGGTAGCTGCGTGGGGCGCCGGGAGCGGGGTGCGTGTGCCCGGCAGCCTTCGCCCGCCCCGGCATTTGGGCGGACGCGGGCGCCCGCTCTCCTCCGCCTGCCTGACCGCGCTCTCTTTGCCGGCAGCCTCACGAGGACGGCCCGCTGTACTTCCCCACCGTCAGCACCATTAGCCTGGGCTCCCACACCCTCCTCGACTTCTACCACCCCGTGGGCAGGGAGCCGCCGCCAGAGGGCCGAGAGGTACGCGGCGCGCTCGGCAGGGCGGTCCGGTCCGGTGCCGGCCTCGCTCTGCTCCTTGGTGTGGCCAGAGCTGGGGGGGTGGGCTGGCTGTGCCTGGGGAGGGGGCTGCACGGCAGGCCGTGGGTGCCGCCGCGGTGCTTGGAGGCTGCCGCCGTCCAGGGCGAGGGTCTCCGGGCTCGCAGGCCCTGTGCAAGCGCTGTGCCCTCCCCCGCCCCGCGCTCTCGCGCACACATCCGCAGGGCGTGTGGGCGCCTGCCCCGTCTCCAGGCTCCGAGTGGCCCCTGGCGACCCGGCCCAGCTGCTCGGCTTCCCCAGGGGCTGCGTGCGCACGGCCCCGTGGCATAGCGAAGGGAGACGCATGCGCCCAGGAACGGTTGCGCCTCGCTCCATGCGCATGTGTGCCCAGTGCGCCGAGGAGCAGAAGGGCACCTGGCATGCTGACGGGCACCGTCGTCCGCTACTCCCTGGGAAGGGCGGGCGAGGGCTGGTCTCGCCCATCCTTCCCCCTGTCCTCCCGGGACCTGGGGTGCGGAGGCACCCTGCCTCTTACCCGGGAGTGGCCCACAGCCATCGGGAGGACTGGCCAGGGATTGTCTCCTCCCCCGTCCCCTTTGACAGTCACCTGAATGGGTGACCATCGCGCCGTCTTGCGGGAGGAAATCCTGTACGTTGTGTGCCTGCGGTTTCCTGCTGTCACGACCCACAACGCTCTGGCCTGGGAGCAGCTTAGCCGGGGGCAGCACGTCCCCTGCCAGGTGCCTGCAATCCGGGGTCCTTGCGAGAAGCCCAGCTCTCAGTCCCATCACTGTATGGGGAGCACCGGGGGGGGGGGGAGCGCAGAGCCTTCCAGGCAGCTGCGTCCAGGTGCTGCTGCCCCCTCCTGTGGGAAGCTAGCGATGCTCCCCTGCTCTCCCCCCCCCCCCCCCCGGCAGGCAGCGGTGTATTTATTCAGGCACGTCCCCAACTTGTGAGCTTGGTTGCAGCTGGCTGGGGAAGGCTCTGGCACATTTTTCCCGTCAAAATGCGCTCTCTTGCTGTGTGTGCTGAATGGGTGGGTCCTGCATTGCTTCCACTTGTGTGTGATTCGATCGGCTGCCGCGAGCCCATTTTTTGGCTGCGAAGGGAGAAGTGAAACCCGGACTGGTTTGTCTTTCCAGGAGATCACCCCGCAAACGGAGGCGCAGCGCCACTTCCAGTCTCTGCTCCTGGAACCCCGCAGCCTCTTGGTCCTGCAGGAGGACATGTATGTCCGGTACCTTCACGGCATCCGCCCCGTCACAGAGGACCACGTTACAGAGAAGGTGGCCAACCTGGGCGCGTGCGGCTCCGAGCTTGGCGTCACGTTGCAGCGTGGGACGCGAGTGTCGCTCACCATCCGTCGTGTCCCCAAAGTGCTGAAAACCGCCATTATTCTGGGCAGGAGGAAGTGAGTGGTTGAGTTTGCGGTGCCCTGTGTGCGGCAGCACGCTTCCGCATTAAAAAACAAACAGACCCGAGCGTGTTAGATGCGGGGAATGGTTCTGGGCGCTGGGAGTTCACAGGCTGGAATGTTTTGCGTGTGGAAGAGTGGCGTTCCAGGAGACCCCTCAGGAGCAGCACAGCCTGGGTTTTGCCGGCTCTTCTGCTGTTCGTGTGAGCAAAGCGAAAGCGAGAGACTGACATTCACGGGCCGTGGAGCAGCAGCCGCTGCAAACCTCAAATCCGGGTGAACTATTTAAGAGGAGGGCGAGGCCGGAGCGTGGTGTGTGGGACAAGAATAGTCGACCCACTGGGCCCCCTGTCTGGCTGTTGAAAGGTATATGAAAACAGTAAAGAAGCAATACATAATAAACAAGCCCCCAGGCAACTGAGAGGAAGCAGCTTGTGTGTGTAATATCTTTTGTAATGTATCACAGAGCACTGCCTGGCAGATGGAACCCAACCTGGTGGGTGCAAAGCACAGATTTTGCGACTTCCAGCTTCACCGGGAACAGCAAGCGGCTTTCTGTGCTTGAAATGCCCCCATAACAGAGGAAGAAACCGGGTGGCCTGATTTTGACTTCCACGCCTATGCAGCAAAACTGAAACAGTGGCCTTCCAGGTGTTGCTGGATTGCAGTTCCCATCAGCCCTGGCCAGCTGGCAGGGCTGGAGGATCATGGGAGCTGCAGGCCAAACAACTGTGGGAAGCGGGGCGGTTTGCCTGTCGACCGGGGGGTTCAGACTCTTGGGTTCCTTTCCAGCCCCAATGATGCTCTTCCATTGCTGCCTCGCCTTATTCTGATGCTTAGAGTCTCATCCTAGGCCTTGCGCTTATTTGTTCATGTTTCACGCGGAAGTGCTCGTGTTAACACCTGAACTTTCCAATTAAAGACCTGTTGGATGCACACCTTCTTCAAGGAATCTCTGCGTGTCGTTCTCGCCAGACCGCCACAGTTCCGAAGCGCTCGGGGTCTCCCAGACCACTTTGGGGGCCACGAGTGGCAAACCCACACAACGGAGACACAAATTGTGCGCTGGAAGGACAGCTCCTGCGTTCTGCCATCCGAAGCCCCACCTGGCGCAGCTGCAGTGGCAACATCAGCTGGAAAACCTGATCAGCACATGGTTGCGTTGATGGTCTTGGCTAGGTCGGACTCAGATGGCTGATTTTAAGGGTGGGGGGTGTGATGAAAGTGGGAGATAAATGCAGATGTGGGGGGGTCACCAGGTTCAGGCTACCTGCGGCATCCCGCCTGCCAGGACTCTGAGTGGTGACCCAGGCTGCAACGAACGCAAGGAGAGGCCCGGGAGCCACTGACTCGGTGGCCAACTTCTGTTCCTTTTCGGCGAAAGGCTGGGTGCGTGGCACTTCAACGTTTTAAAAACTGAATGCCGACATTCTTCCGAGGGAAGCCGAATGTTTAAACATGAGCTGGTGAGGTCCATGAAGCACGACGATTTTACGTAATCTGCTCTGCTAATAGGCCAGAGCAGCAGAGGGTCTGGAAGGACGCGGGTGCTTTGCTCCTCGACCGCTCGATCAAGCCTTCTGTGGCAAGGGACTCCTGGAGGTGCTGCCTCACGTAACCAAAGACGGCATTTACGGCCACTAAGCTACACCGGCTGAAAAGCGAGATTTAAACATTCTCAGATGGCTGCACTTGGCGCTTGTTCAGTGCGGGGGAATGTTGTGGGTCCGTGACATGCACAGATCCAGGGAAGGGCCCTTGCTTGGTCGGCCTGCTCATGTTAGTGGACTCCAAGTCCCATCAGTCATAGCCAGCAGAGAAGAGGGGAGCGATGCTGTTACGGCTTGCCTATGTTTAGGGTGTCTGCCCATTCCCTGTTGCATGAAAAGAGAAATATTTTGGTCTGGGTTGTTTTCTCACCTTCAAACCGAGGAGGACCTGCTTCGGGTTTTCTGGGATGTGGCCACCGGGTCAGTTTAAGGACCGAAGGATTGGTAATATCACATTGTGTTCATACCCTCCTTTCTTCCCCCTGTGCGGAACCAAAGCAGCTTACAAGGTTCTCATATGAAGTTGGCTTCCATCGCCCGCTGGTGGAATGACTTGATTCTGCCCCGGTAAACTTTCCTAGACAAGTTTCTGTCTTTTTGTCTTTATTGTGTGGTTTTAATGCCGACAACCTTCAGACGAGCTGCCTGGCGAAGGGCAGAGCACCGTGTGTCCCCCCCTCCCCGGCATTCCCGGCAGCTCCCTGCCTGGGCAACTCGGGGGGCCTTTGGCAGGCATGCGAACGAAAAAGTCTGTGATGACGTCCATCCAGGGCTGGAGTACGGGTGGCCTGTGGGTTGTCACTGCAGCACGAGTTGTCGTGTTGTCCAGGAAGAGACCCCACGCCTCGCTGGGTGCTGAACTGTGCGTTGTCCAGCGTGGCTTGGTTCAGACGACACGGTGACCTTGTGCGTGGGTTAGGGTGTTTTCTGAATATGTTTATTGGCACGAGACTTGCTGGGGAACAGCTGGCTGGCAGAAAATCAGCCGTGCGCGCCTCATTTGTTCCTGCGAGCGGAGGTGGGAAGGAGCCGTGTTTCTGTGCGACGTGTGCTCGCAGTCCCTGCTCCCGCCCTGCGTCTCTCAGGGAAACCTCCTCCTCTGGGGACCCTGGAGAGGCACTGCTCCTCAGAGCCCTGTCTGGTCAGGTCCGTGGTCGGAGTCACTGCAAGCCCGCTCCACCGGCCCGCCCTGTGCGAGTGAAGTGGCTTTTCTGGTCAGACCCCGGACCTTTCCCTGGAACTCGCCGTCCAGCTCCTTTTCGGCTCAGTCTTTGTGCTTTAGGGAACCGTCAGCCGAGCAGAACGAGCGAGCTGTGGGTAGAGGCTCCTGCGCAAGTTAAATACCATCATTTCGTGGCTCATCTCCATGGTGCTGTAAAGGTTAATGAGGTGGGCCGGATCCTGCTGTCCTTGTTTGCCCGGCAGAAGGGGTGTGATTTTCTTGCACTGAGTTGCTAAAGAGGAGCACCTGGTTTGTCTGAGTGAGCCATTGATGGGTTGGGCTTTTCCTGGTTACAGTTGGAGCATCAGGTTACCTGCCAGCCCACTCGGAGCCTGCTGTTTCTTTGTTGGGTATCCGCAGAGAGCTGCGCTTGCCTGAGGAGGAGGAGGAGGAGGAAGCCCTGGCAGGGTTTGGGGGCTGCCCTTTTCACCCCTTTGCTCGCAGTCGGTGGAGGCGAGGATGGCGCTCGCTCTGCCCGCTCGGCGCAGAGTTGCTGCAGCTGATGCGGCGATTGCAGTAGGGCGCCTGTTTAATGATTGACGGGCAGGGAAATGCAGAAGGTCGGGCTGCGATGCAAAGGACTCTGGCTGCAAAGCTCCTGGAGGACCTGAATTTTGATCTGGTGGGGACTGCGAAGCCGAATGAAGCCAGGCTGCTGTGCAGCGCCTTGGATAGCCGCTCCCTTCAGGTAAGAGGCAAGCCACCTGTGCCAAACCTTCTTTTGAATACAGGTAATGTGCCACTAACCTGTTCCTTGGTTTGTGGGCTCTTAACAGAAATCGGAGGACCTAAAATGTGACAGCGTGTTGGTTTACATGCGCACGTTATGAAGCCCTGGACTGAATTGGCAGATGAGACAAGATTAGATAGCAGTGGCCGATTTTAACTGCTGGGGCTGCAACTTTCAAAGGCTGTTTTGGTTCAAAGGTTTTACAGTAACGGGACAGGAAAAAGAAAAGGTGGCATTTTAGCAAGGGATTATCTCACGTCTTGCAAAGGTATTGCTACTCAAAGGCCAGAAAGGAGAAAATGGAAGTTGCTAGTGATAAATAGAATGCAGTCTGTGTGTGGTCAGAGGCTCACTCAGTGGGCTAATGTCCAAAAGATCTTCCTGAGCCCTGCTGGCTATTCATATGCAGAGCGTCAGCTGGGGCTGGAGAAGCAGTCAAATTCACAAGCAGGCCCATTTCTGCTGTCTGAAAATGCTCAACTGGACATGTGCCATGAGGAGCTTTGCCAGAGCTCGTTTTGAAAACTACGGGTGTGACGGAGTGGAGTGGAGCCTGAATCTCTTCAAGTTTGGGGAACCGTCATCTCAGTTTCCCTAAACGGGTGGGTGACCTATCTGGAATCGCACATGGATTCCTGGCGATCCCTACTCTGTAGCGCGATGGCATCCTGGGAGGACATAATGGGATAATAGAGTCCGGAGGGCCAATCTTCTTGCTTCGTCCGGATGTTTAAACGAATCCGGTTCTTGTAACTTGAGCCCTTTATTCCGTGCCCTGCACTCGGGGATGATGGAGAGGAGATCCTGGCCATCCTCTTTGCGACAGCCTTTCAAATACTTGTAGAGCAGGCTGTCCTCTCCACCTCCCCTCATGGGGCTTTGCTTCCATCGCCAGATCCTTGCTACCCTCCCCTGAACACTCCCGGCGTGTCTGCATCTTTCTTGCAGTGGGGTGCTCAAGCCGACACGGGGCTCCAGGCGAGGCCCAACCACAGCTGACTAAAGGAGCTAGTCCATCGTGAGGTTTCTGTTAATGCAGCCCAATGAGCTTTTGCCCTTTTTCCCGCCACATCCCACGGTCGGCTCATATTCAGCTCGGGATATGCAAGAATCCCTAGACCCTTCTCCAATTGCAGATCTGCTGAGCATTCCTGGACCACATCATTCATTCATTCAGTAAACTTTTATGCCGCCCCATTCGCCGAAGCCTCGGGGCGGCTCACAGACATAAATAAACTTCGTCAAAATAATATAAATTAACAGTATAAATTAAGTCACCCTGGCCAAAGAATAAAATCAATAAAGACTATTAACAGTTAAAATGACATTTGAATAAAAAGGTCTTCCCCTGGCGCCGAAAAACAAACAATGAATCATGCAAATCATTCCCAGAACTTGATGAGCAGTGGGCCCGGGGCTGAGCGCTGCAGACGGAGAGCCTCCCAAGCCACCGCAAGTTCCTTGCAGGAGGATGCGAAGGGGGTGTAAACAACGCTCCCCCCCCCCGGTTGCCTCCTTCCAGTGTGTGATGGGGCCATGGACAAGCGCTCCTCGAGCCCGGTCCTGGGGGGAACTGTGGACCCACCTGGCTGCTGTCCCACCTGGCCCCGCTTTGAGCCCAGGAGGGCGGTGCGGGGCAGAGGGCCAGCGGATCGTGCAGTGCCGTGCTCGGGCCCCCTTGCCTCACTCCCCCGGCCCTGGCCTAATGCAGCCGCGTCGCACACGGTGTCCCCTGGCCACAAGCCAGGACAGAACCCTCCCCAATTTGATGCGCTGGCGCATGCCTTGCCAGGCATCGGCGGGGAGGCCGGGGACAGCGGTGCTGTTCGTGCCGCTCCGGGCGGCAACAGCCCTGCGACAGCCCTGAGAGAAAGGTTGTTTGTTTAGCGGCAGCGAGAATATTTGAGAAAGGCATACGGGCTTTTCAAAGCGGGGCCTAGCTGGGCCAGCTTCTCGCCTGGGCTGAAAAGGGGATTCCACCGGCTAGGAGAGTTCGTAAAGAGCTGTGCAGGCTGCAAGGTTTATATATAAACCTCGGGGTTTATCGTGTGGATCTACATGCACCTTCAAAGGCAGACCTTTCTGGTTGTAGGGTGCAGCTCTCAGACACTCTGGAGCCTGGGTATCTCTAGTTTTTCACTGTACCTTCCTGTTTTAATTGTGTTAAATTTTAGTGACTCCTGCTCTCTCTCTCTCTCTCTCTCTCTCACACACACACACACCCCAGTGAGTGAGAGAGCAGAAAAAAGAGTTGCTGTGAGTGTGGACAACTTGGAAATGGCAGACTTCAGTTTGGAAGTGCCGCCTGTTAATTATCGATATACCTGGACAAGCTGCAGTGATGTGTGTGTGAGAGAGGATAAATGCACTCTGCACATGCTCGGAGCCCTCCTTGCCACTGCATCGTCGCTACTTCCGTGGCAAAGCTCTGGCACTGAAAGTAACTTGTGGGACGGAGCCAGACGGAGATTCAAGAAGGGCGGCAGTTGAAGGGACAGGGAAGAACGGCCTTCCCTGGGGTGGGGTCTCGCCCTCGAGAGCAAAACTGCTGCAGTCGCAAGCGGAGAAATGCCTGGTTCCACTCTTTCCTCTGTGCCTGCATCCAAGTGCAGAATGAATCGTGTTCATAAAGTATTTTGTGCAGAATATTTCCGCCTGTTTGCTCAAGCTTCCAAGGACCCTCCAGCATATTTTTGCAAGGAAGTGGGGAGGAGAGGAGGTAACAGCCGAGGCCGAGAACGGGCAAAGGGTGGGCCTCCTTGCGAATTCACAGGGAAAATCCAAACATTGCTTTTTGCCCCGTGTGCTTTTATTACCTGATTTAAACGTCTCTGTTCAGAGAGAGAAACATGGGCTATGAATGTCGGTATAAGCCACAGAGGTGGCCTCTGTGCATGTGCAGAGTGCATTACCTTCACAGTAGAGTCAGTCACTACCGAGAACAGCTCAGCGAAGGGTCTCTGTTGGGAGGCTGAGCTCCTGGGTCCAACACGGCGTACTAGCAAGTGGTCCTGCCCTGGAGCCCCTCCGTGCGCTCCCTTTCTCCCGAGGAGGCCTGCCAACGAGGAAGCAAGCTGGTCCGCGGTTCCTGATAGCCATCTCCTTCCCGATAGCCATCTCCTTCCGCCTCCCTGAAGCAGGCGATGTGGAAAATTCTCAGCAGACTGGTTCTCTCTAATGGTTCCCCAGAGCAATCACGCTTCAGTGTGTTTGTTTGCTTAGAGGCAGATAAGCGGTTGTGAACTTGGCTACCTAAGCAAGAAAGCAAGCGAAGAGAGAGCTGGCGTGATGTTTGTAGTGCTTTCCCTCGTCGCCACGATGACTCGCCCTTTGCTCTTCCACCCACCGTTTCCAGTTTAGATCCCTGTTTTATTTCTAAACACAGACGGGCTGAGCACCCAACCTGTCCTTCCCGACAGCTCCCCTCTCCTCCAGTCTCCTCCAGTCCCTGACAGGTGGTATTTTAGGTAAGCGCACTCTGAGCGTGCCCAGAGTGTTTTCTTATTGCTTTGTCAAAAACTGGGTCAGAGGCCTTGGCCCCCTTTGATTGGCATTTGGTCACTGCCTAACTGATCTGTACCTTCTTGGGATCTGCAGTGCACTTCCTGGTTGTGCTCTTTTCTTTTGTAAAGAAAGGTGCTCCTTTCCAGACAAGAATGAGAAGTGGATTATGAACTCGCTTCACAGGCGACCGTCAGTTGGAATCCGTGGTCTCCCGGACCCTTGGCAGGCTCTTGGACGGGCCTGACGCGTCCTCCGCCAAGGAAATAGAGGGCTGGCGCGATCCCATGCGGCTTTGACGATGCGGCAGGCTGGCTTCGGTGGCCGCCTCTGCCCGGATCCCTGGAAGGAGCGCCGGTGCCGCAAGCCCCGGGGGGAGCCGCTGACGGAACCAGCTGCTTGCCACCTCTGCCTGGCCTCTGTGGAGAGACGGATCAGGTGACGGCTGCGTGCGTGCATGTCCCCGCCAACACCCTCTTAGGTGCCACAGTCGCTGCTCAGGGCAGCGAATTTTCCCGGGGAACACCAAGAAGCCCAGCCGTCGGTGAGACACAGAGAGCCACGCACCAGCCTGCCTGCGCCGGGTGCCCTCCGGGTGTCTTGACTCGCCTGGGCAATGGTGGGGAGCCCGGGGTACTGCGGTGCGAAACCTCTGGATGGTGCCCGCTGCGGAGGGCTGCCACACGCCGTTCTGTACGGTTCCCCAAAAAGTAGGTTATTAAGTGACGGGAAAACTCAGGGCTGCAGTCCAGCACATGCCGTTCTGGTAGCAGGTCCCGCTGAGCTCCGTGGGGTTGGCTTCTGTTGGAGGCATGCGCCCTGCAGGAGCAGCAGTAAGAAACGCCGCGAAAAGCAGCATTGAGAACAGCAGATCTAACCGCCTGTCCCAAAGCTTGAAGAATTCACAGGAGGAAAAACTGGCAGGCATTACCGTCAGGTGGGATCGCTCTGAGGTCGAGCAGCACTATGTGGTTTGAGGGACACCAGGTTGTCCCAGTGCCTTCAAAATTTCTGGGAAAGTTAGATCTTCAGGACTTCTTCCCAGTTTTCTGCTGTGCACATTGTCTGAACTATGTCTTGGTCCCTCGCCAGAGAAGAGCAGGCATGGCAGGAAAAGGTGGCTCTTCAGGACTTGGTCTTCCGCTTCCAGGACTGGCTGCGTGCTGCGGAGGCGACAGTCCGCTCGGCACGATCCTCGCAGGTCTCGTACGCCCATTCCAAGAAGGAGCTGCAGAGGTGCGAGGTGAGGACGAACCCCCCGGACGCGGGCCGGCTGCCTGGCCGGCTCATCCCGGGAACTGCCGGCGTGTGCTCTTGCTAAGCCTCCATGGCCGGGGAAGCATCTGATCACTTGGAATTTGTCTCTCCTAGTGCAGTCCTTTTATCTCAGAAGGAGCAAGGGGCTCCAAAAATAACAGAGGTTGAACAAATGAGGCATTTAGAAGCAGAGGAAGGGCAGGGCGGAGAGAATGTGGCTTTGTTCTCCCTCCCTGATGCTTGTGTGATTCCCACCTTTTCAGTCTCCTGCAATCCAGGTCACCTTGTATGAGAGGGAGGGAGGGAGGGAGGGAGGGAGGGATGAAAACAGGCAAGGGGGAGGTGGGAAAGGTTTGCCGAGAGGTTTGCCGAAGCACAGCTCCTCGGTGGGCAGCCGGGATGGCTGCCTGCGAAGAGGACGGGTCGGGGCTCAAGACTGCTCGCTCTCCACTTGGTTGTGCCGCCTAGCGACTCAGCGCCATCCTGTCTAACGCCGGCGTGCCCCTGCGGGAAGCCAGAGGGAGGCCTGGCCGCACTGCTGGATCCCCGAAAGGGACCCCACCGTTTCACCGGGGAACGGAAGCTGCACCGTTCGACCAGCTCGCATGCGTGTTGCCGGCTGGCCTTGCGCCAGTCAGTGAGCCGCTGGCCTCCGGTTTCCCCCCTTGTGGACTGGGAGCATGAACTGGCTGCCTTTGGCCAAGGCCTTGTGCAGATCTACTGGCCAAAGCAGATGTTTTAAAGTTGGTATTTCAAAAATTTTTTCCACGAGGAGCCCAAGGCAGCTTTGACCCCGAGTCCGGCAGCTGTGGCTTTGGTTCCCTTTTACTCTGAAGTAGATGCAGAGTTCCCCCGTTCCCCCAAACAGTTTGGCTCTTAGAATCTTCCCCACCACCCCAGTTAGGGGCCCCATTCGGAGTGGAGTTTTGCAGGTTGTTCTCTCTCTCTCTCTCTCTCTCTCTCTCTCTCTCTATGTATATATAGATATAGATATAGATATATAGATATATAGATATAGATATCACGTTGCATTTATATCCTCCCTTTTGCTTTTGTGAGAAATCCGAGGCAGGTCACGTCGCTCCGTTTTGCCCTCACGGCAACAGCCCCGTGAGGCCGGCTGGGCCGGGAGCAGCGACTGGTCCAAAGTCTCCCAGGCAGGGCACGGCTCCATTCGCCCTTGGCCCCGATCCCCTGGGTCGCCGGCCCAGCACCTCAGCCGCTGCACGGCACTCGCTCCCCCGTCTGAAGCAGCGCCTCTTTCAGTGCTAAGAGTTTTGCGAGAGAAACGTCAATCGTTTAAAGGGAAGCCGTAGCTTAATGTGGAAACGGGACAGAACGGGTGTGGGCTTGACAAGTGGCCAAGGGCAGAAATGGGGGAGGAGGCTGCCGGTTCTGATGGCCCAGGCTGGCTCCTGGATCAGCGGCCGGGCACCTTGGCACTGCTTGCTGGGGAGCATGGGCGTCCTGCGGGCGCCTCCCACGGGCAGCCGCCGGGTGAACACGCTGCTGTCGAGGTGGCCCCGGTCCAGTCCGGTCCGGTCAGGTCCGGTCCGGCAGGGTCAGGGTCAGGGTCAGGGTCATCTTCTGTCGCTCCAGGTGCTGCAGAAGCAGCTCTCGGACAAACTGCTGCTCCTGGAGACCTTGAACCGGCACTACCGGCAGCTGGGGCGGAGTGGGGGTACCTGCGCACGGCTTCGATCCGCGGTTCAGGAGCTCAACCGGCACTGCGACGAGCTGCAGAGGCGGGCCGCTGCCGTCCACGCCGCGCTGAGGGTGAGTGTGGGGCAGCCCGAGTGTGGGGTGGGACGCCCTGCGTGAATGCTTCCCGTGGGCTCCGGCCCTTGACTTCCCGGTCGATGCTGGCTCCAGGCTGGAATGCCCTTGGGAAGGTGCTCTCTGTGGGCGGCTCCTTCCGCGAGTCCGTCCTCTCCCGCTGTGACACCCAGGGGCCCTCAGATCAGGCAAGGGTTTGGGGGGGGGGGTCTGGAAGCCGCTCCAGCTGCCTGCGCTTTACAAAAGCACAAAATCAAAATCATTAACAATAAATGCATCTGAGCAGGAAACACACCCATTTTTGAAGCTGGGGATCATTGGAAGCACCAGATGGGGGAAGAAAACCGACGAGTGTTAGTTGAACACAAAATACAGTAAGGGGGAACAAGGGCAGTTCCCACATTGATAATGCGGAGAGAGTCACTAGGCGATAGGTGACTGTGCGCCCCTGAGCACTGGCAAAGGCCTGACGAATAAACATTATTTTTAAAAGTGTACTGCCGAAGCATCAAAAATTGGGGGGAGGATGAACAGAAAAACGGGGCAGTAAAGGGGTAGCGACTGGAGTGGGGTGGGAATCCGGAAAAGCTTTTGTCTTTCGGGACACGGGTGCAGGAGAGGTTCTGCTGCAAAGGGCCCTGGGCTGCCTGTGGGGAATGGGCCAGAGGACCAGAGGGAAACCGCCACGGCCGGCGTGGTGCCAGCGAAGCCCACAGCTCGGCCTATTTTCAGGGCGGCTTTTCACGATGTGGAAACTTGCTCCTTGGTAGACTGCAGAGTTTAGGACTTTCCTTGTGGACTCCGTGGTTTGCCTTTGCCTTGTGTCTCTGTGTGTATGTTTTTTAAAAATTTAGACCCTTTTGTTTGTCTGCCCATTATCTGCATATATATCTCGGCTTCCGTCCTCGCCTCCCTTTCATCCCCACCACTACCCTGGGAGGGAAGTAAGGCTGAGAACCAGCAGCTGGTCCAAAGTCACCACCAGCCGGATCTCCCCGGCCCGGCCCCAGTGCGCCATGCGCCACGCCACACCGTCTTCCGGCGCTCTGGTGGCAGGCAGGGTTGCGGCTCAAGGCCGTCCGCCGAGCCATGGCTCCGGGAAGCAAATCGGGGCCACCGTCTCGCCTCGCCTTGCCTTGTCCTGTCCCTCAGCGTGTCGTGAACGAATGGGAGGAGTTTCAGCTGGAGAGGGAGAGCATGCGCGTGTGGCTGATGGAGCTGGACCTCCGGCTCACGGATGTGGAGCACTTCTCCGGCGGCACCGCGCTGGATAAGATGATACGGCTGCAGGTAACCCGGTGCGCGGTCCGGCGGGAGGAGGCGGGCACTCGGCCCCCCACGCCCGCCCTCCTCCCTGAGCGTGTGTTGCGGTTCTCCTCGGGCGCAGGCCTGCAAGCAGGACGTCCAAGCCAATGCGGAGCGCCTGGACCGCCTGCTGGAGCGCGGGGAGCGCTTGATCCAGAGCAGCCAGCCGGAGGACGCCCGGCGGCTGGAGGAAGAGCTCCAGGCCTTGAGTAGCTTCTGCCAGGAGGTCTTCCGGAGGGTCTTCCATTTCCGCCGGCGACTGGTCAGCCTGAGGCTGGTGCGTACTTAAAATGTAAGCAGAGCCTCGGATCGGGCCGAGGCCCCTCTGGTCCGGCACCTGTTCCCGCCCACCGGATTCCACAGGTCAACTCTGCAGCCTGCAAGAAGCCCTCCCCGTCCTGCCCCGAGTCGCTCCAGCTTTGGGCGGGGGGCCCTTTGGCTGCTAGCATGCTCTCCCCCATCTCCGCTTTCTCCACGTCCTGCAGAATCCCGTGCACCTTCCGTCTCCCGTTACTCGCCGTTTTCCTACACGAAGGACCCCGGCTGGGATCACTTCCCCCCACAGGCCACGTGCTCCAGCCACTTGCTCATTCTAGTCTGGGAGCCATCCCGAGGCGGCAGAGCAAGGGCACAGCGTGTAAAAACTTTGGATGGATGGGTGGGTGGGTGGATGGATAGACGGATTGATGGATAGATTGATAGACTGATAGATGATAGATAGATTGGTAGATGGATGGATGGATGGATGGATGGATGGATGGATGGATGGCCATCCTTTTCTGCGCTTTCCCCAGCCCTACAAAAAGAAGCAGGAGTGTGGGGGCCGACACGCTTCCCCCTCGGCCTTCAGGGCGTGAGGGTCCGGTTAGGTTCACACACGCACTGACTGCTGGCAACAGCCAAGGTCCGGATTGCACTGTAGGGGCAGGGAAGCTCTTCGGAGGGGCACTAGTCAGTCCTCGGAGAATCCTGGCTTTCATCTACTTGCTTCTAAAAAGCAAGTTTCTAGTCCTTATGGCTGTGTGAAGATCTGTATACTTGAGAGTGTGTAGGCAGGTCTCCAGAGATGCAGCTGAGGGCAGAGTAAAATCTTTAGTTCATTGTGTGAGAAGAATTCCATTCTCTCCCAATTAGGAGGAGTGTATTATGAAAAATGTGATGACATACGAGTGTGCTGAATTGCCATTATTTATTCACGTTGCTGAATTCGGGTCGGTGCCTCAAGGCCAAACTAGGCATAATGTTAATTTTGTGTGAGCTATTTAAGATGCACACTTTCTGTGTGGGGGCCCTGCCAAGATACCAAGCAGGAAAGCTCACCTAACAAATCTCAGTTTGGTAGTAAAACCAGTAAAACCAGCAACAGAAAGGCAGTATTAAAATGAAACCCAACTGCAGCTACAACCCGCTCGGATATGACGTAAACATGGGAAGGCCAGGTAAAATAGTACATTTTCAAGGGCTTCCTAAAAGCCTGCTAGGGCGGCAATGGCAGCGTTTGATCGCAACTCAGTCCAGAGGCGTGGAGCCAGTGTAGAAAAGCCCCTGCCGTGTGTGCTCGGCCACCCAAGCCGCTCCGGCAGGTGGTGAACGGGGAGGGCTTGTCTTGCGGATCTTAAAGAGCAGGCAAGCTGCTAGAAAAAAGCTGGTCCTTCCGGTAAATTGATCCTGATGACCAGGTAGACTTTCAAATGGCCAACCCAGCAGCTTAAACTGCATGCAGAGGCAGGCTGGTAGCCAGTGCAGCCGGCGCCGTATTGGCCTGAGATGGCTCCAGGTGGCCAGGTTTGGCTCCAGGCGGCCTGGGCTTGGCCGGGGGCCCCCGGCTCCACCCGGCGGCTGCTCCCCCTACAGTGTGAGTTACGACAGGGCAGGCCTGCCCCTCTCCTCTTCCCAGGTCTTTGAGGACGAGTGGCTGTCGGACCGGGAGAGCGATCTGGAGTCGGACTGCGTCTCAGCGGATCCCCCGGAGCTGGACCACGTGGCCACGGGAGCGGCCCATCCTCCTGTCTGTCCCCTGAGCCAGCCACCCCCAGGAGAAGCGCCCTCGCCTTGCTGCCAAGCACCGGCTCCCCATGCAGGAGGGACCCTGGACCTGGAATGGGACCCTTCCGTGGATGTTGGGGGGTCCACGTCCCACGATGAAGAGGATTCCTCATACTACAGTGCCATCACAGGTTGGTAGGGCTGTGGGGTGCCGGAGCCGGGGCACAGCGCTGAGGGTGTCTGGGCATGGAGGTGAACTTCCGAGCTGCCACCTTCCCCACGAGTCTCAGGTCCTGAAGGCATCCTGTGGCACCCTCAGCTTCCAGCACATTCATGAGGACTAGCCTCCTCTTTGCTGTTTTTGCATGGAGTCGGAGGGGTTGCGGCTTCAGGACTGCAGAATTCCTGTGCTGTTACGGGTGTTGTGTGCGAAGCCGGCATGATGCCATGCTGAGAGCAACCTTCTCCAGCCTACTGTCCCTGGACATTGTGGACTACATTTCCCAGCATCCTTGACCATTGGCCCTGCAGGCTGGGAATGACTGCTGCTGAAGCTCATTGCATCTGGTAGCAACCAGGCTGGGGAAACCTAGGTTAGGGGAGAATCCCGTTCACCCCGGCTTGGTCATGGGGCCCTTGGGTAACCATCAACGAGCTACACTGTCTTTCGGCCCAGCTGCCCTCCACGGAGTGCTGTAAGTACTGGAGGTGGGCGGAAGCTCCTTGGGGGTTGAGGGCAGAAACATAAGCGCAGAAGGCAGAATTTTGCCAAGGGCCGCTTCCCCCCATCATTTCCATCCTTGCACATTGATATCTTTTGGCTTCGTTCTGGTCTCCCCACCCACCTTTACACTTTGGAGCAGGGCCTTCTTGGTTGTGGCACCTGCTGCTTCATCAATTGCCATTTTTATTGCTTTTGCAAGTTTTTTGCCTTTTGTTGGGTTGGTTTCTTGTGTTGTAAACTGTGCTGGGAATGTTTGCGAAGCAAAGGGCTGGGCCAGTGTACAAGACGAACACACAGGCATTTCTGCATTCAGCTGCTTCTGCCATCAGGGCTGGGAAGCAACTCTGCCGGACGTCTGCAGCACCCGGCTGTTCTCCCGGCCATCCCAGAGATTTTGAAAGATGCACCCGGCATCTTAAGTCTTTCTCTCAACTGCTGCCCCAAACTTGATTTTTGAGAATGAAAGCTTGGAAACCGCTTGGATTTCCTTCCCCTTCCTTCCCGCTTCCCAGGGGTCGGCCCATGGGAAGAACCTCGCCGAAGGTGCAAGCCGTCCTCTGCCTGGGGGTCCCGTTCTCTGCCTTTGAGGTGTAGCAGCCAAGAGGACTTCTTCGTAAGTACTGGGAAAAGGCCGCTGGAGAGAGGGGCGGTGTTGACCTCATCCAGGGCATCATTGATGGAATTAACATTAGCGTTCTCAGCCGTCGTACTGGGTTGTCAGCAGCAAGTGGAATCGAGAGCTGTGCCTGCTAAGCCCAGAGCGGCTTTTCGGAAGGTCTCGGTTCAGCATCGCACCTTGTCCTTTAGTCCTGTGTGTGGCAACTCAGGAGTAAATTCAGATGTGTCCGAGGAGATTTACCCACAAGAAATGGTGCATGAGAGCAAAGCCCCACTGTTACTGCTCTAAGGTTGCATTCAGGAACGTTCCGTATATTTATTTTGCTAATTTCACTTCTGTACCACCCAATAACCAAATGGCCCTCGGGGACATTTACAAAGTTAAATGAGCTGATCCACCTGGTTTAGGGTACAAGTCTGTGTAGGATCAGGTAGAAAAAACAGCCTTTGGCCAACCTGATTTACATCGGCTAAGCAGTTTTAATCTTGTCAGGGTGAATGTGTGTGTCGGTTTGCCAGGAACGCTGGACTAGCCTCTTTGCACAAGGCTTCTTCCTTCTGAAAATTGTTCGAACCCTTCGCAGGCACAGGAGGGTGTCTTCCAAGGAGCGTGGAACCAGTCCAGCTGCTCTGGAGCTGACCGGAACATGAAAAGATGCAGCTCTGGTAGGTCAGCAGATTCACCTTTCAGGATTTACCTTTGCTTACCAGCAAATTTACCTTAAAGTTACCTTTAACTTCCATTCCTGTGTTCCTAGAAAAGGCCGATTAATTGTGGGGGCAGAAAATTAATTTCTGCTGTCAGAAAAGAGAGTTGGATCCTGCCCCCCCCCCCCCAGTTCCTGTGTTTGTCCGGACATTTGATGTCCAAGTTGCAGAGGCCTGGTCCACCATGGCTTGAAAAAGAGTTACCTGCATGCTTGTCCTCGCTCTCTGGAACACCTGGCCACGAAACGTGGGCCGGTGCCAACACTTTGGGGGTTCAGGAGCCCAGCCCCCCTCAGGAAGCTGCCCTCGTCCTCGGAGTGAAGGCTCGGTTTTGGAAATTGCTCAGAAATGCCTCCTTCCTTTCCTTCCTGCAATGAGATACGTCATGGCTAGCGTGCCGCGAGTTACGCCCCCACCCCGAATGATGCTGCTGCATTGCCCTTGACCCATTTTCTGCATGGTTTCCGCCAAGATCGTTGTCTTCCTACGCCTTTTCCCCAATTTGCCTTACCTTGACTCATCCGCTGCAACAGCCATGCTCTTTCGTTTCTTATCCATGGCCCAACACACTTTAATTTGCTGCGTTTTATTTCTTACATGATTTCTGTTTACATTGCCTTCGGGACCGCTTTGCTGGTCCGTCCCATCCAGCTTCTTGGTCCTGCAATCCACCCCCATGGCCAATTCCTCTATCTTGTTTATGCCAGTCTGGCTTAGAGTGCAGAATTGCATGCCTCCCAGTACTGTTGACTATAAATTTATTTATTTTTATTTATTTATTTGGAATTTTTGTATGCCGTCCCATTCGCATAAGCCTTGGGATGGCTTCCAACATCATAAATACATATACAAATACATACATATAAAATCAGATACACCCTGGCTCAATATTTTAAAACCAATAAATAACACCAACAATTATTAAAATATTGTTTAAATAAAAAGATCTTGGGCTGGCGCTGAAAAACAAATGATGACGGTGCCAGGCAGACCTCTCTGGGGAGCGCATTCCATAAGTAGGGCACCACCGCAGAGAAAGCCCTCCTCCGGGTACTCACCCTCCTAATATCTTTCATGGAGGGTTCCCGGAGAAGAAATAAATATTTCTCAGCAAATCAAATGCCCATCCACAATGTCATGGCTGGGGTTGTGATTGATGGGAAGGTTTTCCGCAGAGTGTTCCCTCCCTTCTTCCAGAGGTTCAGCACCCCAGAGTTGCCTCTTCATCCATCTTGGAATGAATTGTCAGTTCTCACAACACAAGCTCCATCGCAGGGCAGAATTTCACCCGGGCTGTTCTCTCTGACAGGAGATTCACACCCGTGGGAGGTGGCGCATCCCCCGAATCTGCTCCCGGAGGAAGCTGGCCGCCGCCCAGCAGAACCGGTGGGATTTGACCCCAAACGTATCGAGACCTGGCTGGGCCAGAACTGCCAGGAGAAGATGGGGCAAGTAAGATCTTCTGCGGGTACTTTGATCAAACTTGGGATTTTTTTCTATACTTGGCTGGTGAAACGGGACTTGGCATAAACTTAGAGGTGTTTTCAAATTATTATAAACTGATTTGAATTTGACTATAGAATGTTAAAAAATATGTAGTAGGGGGCTGACCCAGTAAATCCAACATTTGTGATGTTTGATGTTTTTAGTATTTGTTGAAAATTTTAATAAAATTAAAAAAAAAGATCTGCGGGGTTGGACAGGTCTTCTCAGCTGTAGAGGTGGTGGTCTTGGACCGAGCCGGACCATGGGTGAAAGAAACGGATGCAGAACGGGAGGATGAGGAGGGCGCTGGGAGGCAGCAGGAAGTCTGCCGGGCAACATCAGCAGCCGTGAGAGCCCGGCTGCCCGCTGGGGGGAACCCTCTTGTCATTTCAGCAAAGCCCGCAAGGGCACCTGCGACCCCGGGAAGGGTTCTCTCGCCAGGAGAAGACCCGCAGAGGGCAGGTGCCCGTGAGACAGCAGCGCCCGATCAGGGTCATGTGTTCGGAATGGTGCCTGGCACGCCACGCGTCCCGTCGGGGTCGAAACGACCCGTGCGCTGCCCGAGCTAGGCCTCTGCAGGTGCTCGTTTTGCCGTCCTGTGCAGCTCGCCGGGGCGGCACCGGCCACATGTCTAGCGGGTTCCAGCATTCCAGTGTTCGCACGCAGACGTCCCTGCTACCCCAGAATGCCCCTGCCTGCCTTTGCGGGTGTTGCATTGTGGGTCTTTTTCTCACACCCGGTGCATTGTGGGCCGTATCCAGTCCAGCTGCTTGGAGGGGCGGGGCGTGTGCGCCATGGAATGGCTCGCCTGTTTGTTTGTTCTTTTGCTCAGGATGCAAGAACACGTGTGGCCTTTCAGCCTGTGGGAGCCCTGCGGCTACCTGAGACAGGTGGGAACCAGCCGAAGCGGCAGAAGCCACCACAACGGACAGAGAAGAGAAGCAAGCCACCCCTGCAGCCCGGCCCGGGGAGCCGTCGGCAGGTAGGGCAGCCCAGAAGGCGCCTGCAATTTGTCGGCAGAATACAGAGCTGGGCCAGGCGAGCGCTTGGCTCGAGTGCATTTGCTCCGTTGTGAAACGGTGTTCTGGGGGGAAAGCTCAAAACGGCAGATCTTATTTCCTTCCGTTGCTCCACCTGTGCCTCTAGATCTCCAGGAAGAAGCAGCCTGGCTCCCGGCCAGCAGAATCTGCAGTCACCGTGGAGCGAGGGTGAGTGGCCTCCCAAACCCTCCCATCTCTGCCGTGGACTTTCTGGGAGGGATCAGCAGCTGGCACCCCTCTGGGCCGGGCCCCCCTCGCCTCACCTCGCGCTGCCCTTTGCCCAACTCCAGAGGCAGGAGGGAAACACGGAAGGTGTGGCCGGTGCCCAGGCGCCTTTGCCCGTCTGTTCAGAACTCCCTTCCCCAGCCCAATACCCTACAGATGCGTTGGACTGCAACTCCCAACATCCCCAGCCAGCCTTGAAATGGCCGCGCCACACATCTGGAGGGCTCCCGGCTGGGGCAGAGAACTTGAGCCCCTCCTCTGCACCCCCCCTCTTCAGCAGAGTGAACTTGAAGAAGCACCTGACAAAATTAACAACAGTAAATTTTAGAAAACCTACAAGACTCAAATAGCGATCAACATGGGGCCCTAACACTGAGCAGAGTATATGAAGAAAGACGTGGGGGGAAACGGTCTGAGTCGGGGGTGCTGAGCGCACGGCAGGCTGGCCCGGGGCGGCCCCCGGGGGCAAATCTCTCGGGCAGGCGCCTGGATGAGCTGCAGCCCTGCCTTCCCAACACTTTGCGGATTGACAGATCTGACGTTTGTCCTTCCAGCTGCGATCCACCGCGGCCACTCGACCTCTCCGCCCGGGCGCAGAAATTCCCCGGAATCCGCGCCCTCCGGAATAAGGTGTGGCTGCTCTTCCCCATCGCCCTCCTGCTGCTGCTGCTGCTGCTGCTGCTCCAGCCCACCCTCCTGCCCCTCTCGGAGCCCCCCTGCCTCCGGGCGAACCGCTACGCCAGGTCCTTCCATCTCACGCTGAAGCACAGAGGGCCTCCGCCCACTTAGCCCTACTGCCGGAGCAGGGGCTCCTTGGGACGGAGACGGCCGGCACCGTGGGAGGAGAAGGTTGTCCGTGGAGTGGCTCAGGCTGCGAGGAGCGGGGTCGCCTCCGCTTGCAGGTGGGCCCCCGCAGCTGCTGAACTGAGAACCCGCTTCTGCCTGCACACACGAGTCCCGGTCGCCTGCTGCCGATTCTACCAGATTTCCGAAGCTCTGCGCGTTTCTCCAGCCCTGTCAAAATCCCAAACCCACCTGGGGCTTGCAGTCCAGGAGTTCGGTAAGTCCCAAGTCTTTCCACTTTGAACTGAGGACTTTGCCCAAACGCCGGAGCCACCGCCACTTGGTATTCCGCGTGTTCTTCAGACGGGTGGAAGGTAGATGTTTTGGACTTCCGTTCCTAGAAGCTTCTGATGGTCGGGGATGCTAGGACATTCCTGGAGATCGGCTTTCTGCTCAAGCCAGCCCCCATCTTTCTCTAGACCAGCCTCCCCAGCCTTGGTGCCCTCCAAATGCGCCAGGGACTACAGCTCCCCGGTGCCCCAGCCAACTATGCAGGTTCAGGGATGATGGGAGGTATGGGCCTCGGCTGTGTCATGAATTGCATTTCTGGGGTGCTGTTTGTGGAATCCTCAAAGAGGAGATTTGGAAGCGGCCAAGAAGGCCGTCGGGTTCACCCCCTGCTCTTGCGGGGCGTGAGCTCAGGCCGTCGCTCTGTTATACCTGCTACTTTTATTTAATATATTTGGCATTCAAGGTTTTCTAATAAAAAAAGAGGAGGAAAGCGCCGGATGGTGGTGCCCTGCCTTCATGAGGGGGGGCTGCACCCCCGCCTCACGCTTCCCGAGGGGGAGTCACCTTCCCTGTTGGCACACCCTGTGCGCTCTGCGGGATCTCGGGGGGCGGGCGCTCTGGACTACAACTCCCATTGGCCCTTGGGTGAAGGGTGATGGGAATTGCAGCCCAGTGACATCTGGAGGGCCCTGAGCTGGTTGGGAGAACCTGAAAGTGCTAAAAGATTTGGGGAAATGAAAGCGGACCCCTCCGCGGGCAGGGGCCACTGGAAGCGGGGGGAGAGGGAGGACGGCAGGGCATGTCTGTCACGGGCGGGGGGGGGCCCGGGGCGGCCCGAAAGCGGCCCCCAGACCCACCTGCAGGCCGCCCGGTCGCCCGCGGCCGGGCAGGAGGAGCACGCGCCGTGCACGTGCCGGGAAGCGTGCGCGCGGGGAGGCTGCCCCCGCCCAGCCACCCGGGCAGCGGTTGCCGCGGCAACCGGCGGGGCGGGGCCGCCGTCGTCTGCCGCTGCGCGAGCCGGGCGCGAGCGGAGGGACCGCGGCGGCGGCGGCCTCGGCCGGGGGGGCCTCAGGTAAGGGCGGCTGGGGGTCCCGTGGGGAGCGCGGCGCGGTTCAGGGGGGGGGGGGGGGGCGCTTGGCGTGCTGGGGGGAGGGGGGCGCCCCCGCTCCCCCAGGGGATCCAGTAGCGGAGGGGCTCCGCGGCAGGAGGGCGCGCGGGGCCGCTGGCCGGGAGTCCCGCGACCCTCTCGGCGGCGGCGCCCCCCCCCCCCGCGCAGGCAGCGCCAGCCCCGCGCGCCCTCCGGCCGCCCTAATTGCTCCGGGCGGCGCGGGCACCGTGCGGCCCCCAAGGCGGCCGGCGCGCCCCTCTGGCCCGGCCCGGGCCCGGCTGCTCCCGGTGCTCAGGAGCCGCCGCTGCAGGGCACCCCCGACCCCACCGGGTCTTCCGCGGCTGCTCTCCCGGCGAAGCCCGGCGTCCGGAGCAGAGCCCGCCCGAACGACCCTGGCCCGTTCCTTGCACGGCGCCCTGGGGGCCGCACAGCGCAGGCCGGTTGACCCCTGGCCTCCCTCGCGTTTAAGCGGCAGAAGTGCACGCGGGTCCGCTGGGGTTTTGCTCTTGGCCGCCCCACTGCAGTGGCCTAGGAGGGCGGAGCGGGGCCCCTGCCCCCCAAACACACGCACACCCATCTCAAGCGCCCCGAAGCAGCTTTTGCTTTAGGACGGGAAGGACTGAGCAGCGCTGCTTCTGCAGCACCTGAGCGGGCGAAGTTTTCATTTACCCCCTAAAGGGCGTGGGGGGCTTGGGCAGGGGGAGCCGTACCCCTGGCACCCCCAGCACACGGGGAATCTTCCCCCCCTTTCAGACTGTGTCTGCAGGATGGCCCCGTGGTTTTGTTGCTGCAGGGGGGCCCAGGAGATCTGTCTTCAAGCCCCCGCTTGAATTCTGGGAGTTGTGGGTGCTTTCTCTGTCCAGACGTGCATGGGATTGCATCCTCATTTACATTAGCCAGTGCCCCCCTCTAAACTCAGGAAGTCTCCCTGAGGAATCTGGTAACCCGCTTTTTCATGTTCTGAAGCACTTCTTTTTTTAGAAGAATTAAGTGGTAAATACAAGCAGCAGCATCACCGGCCCCACAACTCACGGGGCAGAGGGAATGTCTTTCCTAAGGGCTGAGCTCTTTCAGGTTCTTTAACGAACAGCCCTAGTTGATAGAATGGCTGCAACCTGAGAACGTGAGGAGGGAAAATTGCTGATTTTCTGCCCTCTTTCCGTTCTAAAAATAAAGGCTGCTGTGGCTTGCAACTCTGGAGCAGAATGCCTCATTGGCAAATTGAGTATATATGGAAACAGCTTGGATGTAGATAGGCCTCTGCGCATGTTCCGAGCCTTTCTTGGTGGGTCACCCCTTCCAGGGCTTGAAGCTCTCTTCACATATCCTCAGAGAACCAGCTCGCTCCGTGGCCTCACACGCAAAGGCTCCTTGGCTGGAGCAGAGCCGTAAGGATGGCTGAGCAATATTCTTTCGCTCATCGCACCAAGAGAGGGAATATTCTTGGCCTTTTCTGTGGCACATTTGACTGCCAAATGGCCGAGCCTGAACATGCGCTGGAAAGCAGAGGGGCAGGCGGAAGGCGACATGTTCAAATGCAGCTGTTGGGGGCTGCGAGCTGAATCCTGCATCTCTCTCTCCCCCCCTTAAAGTAACCTCGTGTGAACTGTTCTTACACAAGCATCTGTCCAAGTTGACAGGGAATGCCAAACTCAGAGAGGTCCGTTCAGATCACGGCTACAGGTGTTAAAGTGGCCAATTCATGGAGCAAACCCTTCGTCGTTTAAATAGGATGAACAGTTTTTAATTAGGAACCCGCATGTTTAGTCTGGGAGACTTCGCGGCTCTTTCGGCTGCGTGCCATGGTATGGTAGCAGCAACTTTTAATGCAGCCCTTTTACGAAAGCAAAGGTTCTGTTGTGGTTTTGGAAAGACACCGTTTAAATATGCAAATTGAATGGATTATTCGGTCAAAGCAGTTAGCTAATGGCGCAAGACTGAATGCTCTGAGGGACACGAGTCTTACAGTGCTGGAGTGAGGAGTTTTGTCTGCACATGCATGGGACTGCTCCTTAAAATTGATCTTAAATCAGTGCCGGCATCGGAAGTGGCAGGTAGTCTGCAGCATCGCCTCTGCCAAGCAGGTGAGGCGTTTCTACCCCGGAAGAACTTGGGCGTGAGCGAGGTGAGGGTCGGATGTACCTCCGACCCAACTGGAGCAGTGCGTGCGATCGGCCGGCCCTGTTGCCCCCGGCCCTGCGATTTTTGCCCCAGCCCCGCAGTTTGGGCTTTGCACACTCCCGGGCCGTGTTCACGCGCTTCGCCGTTTGGGACCCAGGCGGCCGCACCTAGCCACGGGCTCCGTGAGCCCGGTGCTAGCCCTGGCTGGCAGCAGCTCCTTGGGGAGCCGGGCGCTTCGAGGGACACGCGGGGCCCTCCGTGTGGGAAGCGCGTTCCCCACCGCCGAGTTCCAGTGAAGCCACGTGCCGCTCCTGCTCCAGCACAAGGGGCTTTGTGGGGGCCTAGCCGGGCTGCAGCTCTGTCCCCGCACAGCCAGGCTCCCCGACAAGAGCGCCTGCCGGCTGCCCCCACATGCAGCCCGGGCTGCAGGCAGGCGCCGGAAAGCAGCCTGGGGGTCGCCACTCGGGCCATGTGGAGGCCATCCGGGACTGTCGAACTCGTCCTCCTACGTGCTCATAAGTACATTTTTCTCCTTTGCTTCCTGGTCAAGCTGACACTCCGGAGGACTCACTGAAGTATTTGGCCGGTGTGTTTTTGTGTGTTTGTTCTGCAGGAAGCCTTGGAAAAGGGGCAAGGGCCCCCACCTGTCTTTTTCTCCACTCACTCGGGAAAAGCTGCAAGATAGGGGCAGCCCATTCCCTGCTGGCCTGCAGGAATCCTCCCCGGCCCTCCAAGGTGGGCCCCTTTGCGGAGGAGGAAAAGCAGAGCTGAGGAGCTGGAACCCTGCTCCTGGAACCCTGGAGGAAGAGCCACATGGCTTTGAGCAAAACACAGCCATGGGCTGCAGGAAAGGAAACCCCAAGAGAACTTGAGGGCTAGAACCGCTGGCAGCACCCTGGAACACTCCACGGAGGAACGAGGAGCGAACGCGGGCCGGACTCCATGGAGGAGACCACGCAGGCTGCCAGAGAGAGGATGGCGGGGTCCCATCAGCCCCCCCACTGTGGCCACAACCAGCTCCCTGCCCGGGCAGACGAAGCCGCGAGGAATGACGTGCTTTTGAAACCCTCTCCGGGGGCTGGGGCACCGACATGCCAAGGTGGGCCTGGCCGGCCGTGTCCGGCAGGAAGAGCTTTCCTGAAAATGAAGTGCCCGTTGTGGCGGAGGAGGAAAAGCACGGCCAGCGCTCTGCAGGATCAGGCCACTCCCAGGAGCCGGCTGTGCATGGAGGCCGCCCACGAAAGCCCCATCCAGGCCGTCAGAAAGTCTGCCAGCCAAGGTGGGGCCTGGGGCTTGGGCTCAGAGGAGGAGTCCGCGCCAGGGAAAGCGGAGACCTCCCTGCTCTGGAGACTGCTGTGCCTGAAGGCCACGTCCTCCCGGCCGCAAAGCCCACCCCACGGCCTCGGGGCATCACCTCTCTGCAGAGCAAGCTCGAGCTGTGGGCCCGTCACTGCCCTCCGCCGAACCGCGGAGCCCCAAGGGGAGTCTCCGTTGAGATGGAGGTCCAGGGCTGCCCCGCAGAGCCCGGCAGAGGCTGCCTCGCTCCCCGAGCCGGAGGCCGAGACGGCCGAGAAGCTCGGTGGATCGTGGACGATGAAGCCATGGAGAGCGCTTCGGGCCGTGATGATCTCCAGGACCAAGAGAGAATCAGTCCTCCCGGGGAACAAGGGAGAACACGCGACAGCAGGGGAGGGGGATCCTGGCCTCCCCATGCGACCAGCAACCCCTTCTGGCGCTGGGACAGACGGGGCCTCTGGACAGGCCACCGCAGCGGACAGACACGCGCCATCGGCATTTGCACCGAGTGTGGATGATGCCCACGGAGCGTGCGAGGCCTCGAGAGAGCTATGGCGTGGCACGGAGACCCACAGCGGCGTGGGGGACAGCGACCTCCTGGGACTCCTTGCAGAACTGGAAGCCAAGCACGAGAGCCGCTGGTCCGCTCTGGGAAAGAGCCGCTCGGAGCAGGAGCCAGCCCCGGAGAGCGCCTCTGGGCACGTTCCCCAGGGCCTGCGTCTCCGAGGGGCCGGAGCAGAAGCGGCTGCGATGGCGGACGAAGGCGAGGGCCGCTGGGCGCAGGAGCAGGAGCAGGAGCTGGCCGATCTGGCGGAGAACCCCGGTGGGCAGGGCATGTTGATGGCGACACGGGACTTGGCCTGGTTGAGCCGCGAGGTGCTGGGTGGCCCAGCTGTGGGGCAGGTGGCACGGCACGGGGGCGGTTCTGCGGCAAGCGCTCCGGAAGTCCGGGAGCGGGAGACTGAGGAAGGGAACTCTGCCAGGGGGGGTGGCCCCCCCGGGGAGCTGGCCCCGGGCCCCGCCACGGACCTGAGCCGCCCTGGCCGCCGCCCCCCGCCGCCCCCCGCCTCGGGAAGCACAGCTGCTGGGACCTGCCGCCGGCCGGCGCCCGGGCAGCCATCGCCCTCCCTTCCCCCCGGGGACTTGGCGCGAGGCTTTCTGGGGGGCCCCCCAAGCGGGACCCCTGAAGCAAGTGGGTGCAGCCAGCCGCAAGGGGGCCCTGCACGGGAGTCGCCGCCGCCCACCAGGGAGGCGCATGGGGCCGTGGGGGGGCGGGATGCCACAGGCCCGGGGGAGGAGTGTGCGGAGCGGCTGCTGCACAGGGCGGCCGCGGAGATCGTGGGAGCCGCGATCCACAGGGCCACAGAGCGGCTGGTGGCGGAGGAAGAGGAGGAGTGTGCCGGGCTGGAAGGGCACAGGCGGCCCTGCTGAGGCCCGCCAGGCCACAGAGGGGGGTCTTCTGGCAGCCGGGCGGAGGCAGCAGGCTCCAAGCTCGATTTTCCGCAGCTCTCACCAGCCTCTCCTCCCCATCGCCAAACTTGGCCCCACCTTCAGGGATTCCCTTCTGCTCCAGTGGGCATTTTATGTATTTTACTTTGTGCACGGGGGGGGGGGGGGGGTTGCGAGAGAGGAGGCTCTGGATTCTCTGCATGAGAGCGCAATGAAGCCCATTCCTGGCTGTGGGGAGAAGTGCTTTTGCAAGCCACGCTGGCAGGGAGAGGCACTTCGGTCTCCGTGTCGTTTCCTGGGAGGCCCAGGTGCCATGAACATCCATTCAGCCTTTCCGGGACTCAAGGGCTACCAGGGCACTTTGGAAGGGGCACAGGCACCGCTCTGCCGAAGCTGCCGCTTCTCCTCCAGAGCCAGGTTTTCTGGGCTGCCCTTTCCCTTGCACGGCCTCCCCGCTTCTGCAAAACCGGCAAGCAGGTGATGTGGGATGGACATCGGCCACATGCACGGCTCCTGCACGCCAGATGCCAGACCCCGACGTGCGCGGCTGCCTACCTGGCCCCTGCAGCCCTCCCACCCGTTGGAAGCTGGGCAGCCACTTGCGGAAAATACTCTTCACATGCTCAGGGCTCCATTACATTGCTGGGTCCAGGACAGGCCACCTAGAACGGCCGCTTCGAGAGAATGCAAAAGCTGCCCGGCCGTCTAAGCCTGGTGCTGCTGGGCTGTCCTTTCCAGCACTTGTCTCACAACAAGGCTGGCCGGCCGGCCAACAGCGCTGCCACGCTTAGAGCGACCTGACCCAATCGGACCCCCCAGAGGGGGCGAGCTCCCCCAGCGGCGTGAGACAGGGAGTGCCCCGGAACCGAATGTGGGAGCTGCAGCATGGAAAGCCGATTCCCCCTCGATTCCCTCAGTCCCTCTCTCAGCCGGACACAAAACACACACACACAATTAGGGAGTGTGATTTTTTTTTAAAATATTACTGCATAAAACACACACGGCTTTCCCTCTCCAAAGACTTATGTACAATTCCAAAATAAATAAAGGTTATTTGAACCCATTCCCAGCTTTCCTCACCTCCCCACTCAGCCAAGTCTGGTTCCAACAACCTGGTGCCCTTCAGAGATGCAGGACTGCAACTCCCATGAGCCCCAGCCGTGTGATCAGAACTGTGGTCCAACACACCTGGGGAGCCCCAGAGCCGGAGGGCTGATCTGAGCCATCCCAGCGGAGAAGAGGGAAAGGCCGCCGCTGGCAGGGCGCCCGGCCCGGCACGGGACGCCTGGCTGCAGCACCGGGGGGGGGGGGGTTAAGAAAATAATGCTGAGGGAGCCTCGATTAGCACAGAACCAGGACTTCCCTATTCCAGCTCTGGAAGGATCTCTCAGTGGGGAGAGAACGTAGCCATGGGGTGAAGGGCCGCCGAGCAAGGGAAAGCAGGGTTCCGTCTCGCCTCACCCCCAAAGAGCAAGCGGGGAGGGGAAGGGCATCGCTAGTGCCACGGCCAGGCCTGGGCGGACCCACGGAGAAGAGCTGCGGACAAGGCCCACCTGCCAGGTGGGTGGACAATCTACGGGACCTGCAGCCCGAAACCGCTGCAGAGCTCCAGGCTGGGGAAGGGCAGCGGCAGGGTGCCCCCAAAAGGACAGGCCCCCTCCTCTGACTTGGCTCACGCGCAACGGCCTCTTGGCCTACAGGGGAATTTGCCCATTCGGGCAGAGACCCCCCCCCCCCCCGCAGCTGACCTCGGGGGTGTAAGTGGGGCGGGAGCAGTTCACAGACCCCCTCGCAACCTGAGAACGAGCCACAAGGCCTGGACTGGTTTGTCAACTCTCCCGCCCCGCACCTTGGCTGGGTCAGACGATGCCACAAACAGCCCCCGGGGGAGGGCAGCTCGGGTCATCCAGCAGCACACGGCGGGCAGACAACCCGCAGCGGCCGCTTTCCTGCCACGGCTGTGTGAACCCAGGCGCCCTGAGCCGCAGGCTGTTGCGACGCGGGCTGCCCGTCACATGCGAGCCCCGAGCAAGGGAGCGGAGCGCCGGCCACGAGCCCCGGGCTCTCCTCCTGGGCTGGCCAGCGTTGAGCCGCCGCCGCCCCGCGCACGCAAGGGCAGGTCCCGTTCCGCGTGGCCCAGCCTTGCCGCCCTTGAGGCAACGCTCCTTCACATCCAGACCCCCGGCCTTCTCGTACCGAAAGTGCAACACGGCAGCCACACGCGGCCGGAGGCATTCGCTGCCCCCCGTTCAGCACCCAGGCGGCGATGTGCGCTTGACCCCGGGGTGGGGGGCACAGCCCGACTGCCCTCCTCTTCCTTTCACGTTGGACTTGGTGCCTCCCCAGCAGAGGCCAGATCCCAGAGAGCGCTTGAGTCACCCGCAGAAATACCTAAGGGCCGGCAGCCGCGGATACGGGTGCATGCGTTCCCCCGTCGGGAAGTCGTGCTCCGGAGACGATGCGGGAGAAACGGGCGGGCCGATTCCACCGTCCTCGTCCTCGGCAGGCGGTCCCGGCAAAGACCAGCCCCCACGGGTGGGGCGGGCAGCTGTCCTTGCCTGGCGAAGTCCCAGTCAGACACGCAAAAGGTAATAAAATAATCTTTTGACCATATACAAATATATATATATATATATGTATATGTATATATATGTGCATGTGTGAAAGAAAAACAAAACAAAAAATCCACACAGCGTCGGCAGCTCTTCATCCATACAAAACCCGTCTGGAAGAGAGTGGAGCTGAGCGATGGCCAGAGGCTGGCACCTACTCCATCTTGGACATTTCAAATTGTGTGGTCAAGATTTCCTGCAAGCGGGTGGGGTGGGGTGGGGTGGGGTGGGAAGCAGAAGGAAAAGGGGCCTTGTTCAGTCTGTGCGCGACTTACAGCCTTGCAGGCAACCTCCCAGCAGTCCTATTTCAAGCGGCTCTTTGCTCCAGCCTCCACCGCCTGGCCCGTGCTCACACTGCAAGCTGCTTGGGGCAGAGGCCCTCAGATCCACGAGCATTCACTTCATCCACCTGGGAGGCCAGGCCAGCCTGGCCCAACTAGCCGCTGCCTCCATGCTTAAGAAAGGGGGGGCCCTTCCAGACCAGCCCAAGGTGTCCCAGCAGCACACAGGGCCTTTTGCAGGGCTCGGGGGCCCCCACGATGGCTCCCCAAGGCAGCGGGACTGCTGCGGGGCCCGGCCGCTTGGGAACCTCAAGGGCGCCACGCTGCCTCACTCCCCGGAAGTGCCACAAAGGAAAAGAATTCCACAGGGAAGCAATCTGGGGGCAACGCAGCCAGATGGGGGGGCGGCCCTGGACACCTCTGGGCTCACACCCCGGGGGCAAAGCCCTCCTCCTACGCCCACTCCGCTTGGGTGTTCAGCCACAGCCCTGCCCGCCCCCCGACTGGGGGCTGCCCGGAGGGAGACGCATGAGCTTTACCTCATCGGAGTCCAGCAAAGGGGGCAGCACCCTGCAAGAGAGGCGGGAGAGGAGTGATTACCTGGCCTGGCCCGGCCCGACGGCCCAAACAAACGTTCGTGCCCGGGACGGGACGGGACAAAGACTTACACGTCTGCCATGGAAGACGGAATGTTTTCTTCGACCCATTTCAAGTCTTCATCCTGTAAAAGAAGTGGAACAAAACGGCTGAGGACAGAGAGGCGTCGGCGTGAAAGGCCAGGGGGCCAGGTCAGGCCCAAGGTACATCTTGGCCGTGCGCCCAGCGGCGCATGGACAGCTGAAGCCGGGAAGCCCCCTCCCTGAGCCAGGCAGAGCATGGAAGCCACACGATGCTCATGCTCTGCACCGACTGCTCGCAGGTACACTGCCTCTGGACTTGGAGGATCCACTCGGTGGCTTTCTTTTACAAACAAAAGACCTGAGCAGGGGCAGGATCCTTACCACTCTGGCGCCCTTGAGAGTCCCGTTGATTTCAGGTTTCCCACCTCTCATCTTCATCCCTTTTGGAAAAAATGACCAACAGCCTTCCGGTCAGTGGCAGGCAAATCTCCCCACGCCAAAAGGGAAACGTCTCCGACTGATCTTTTCGTGGACCGAAATGGCCAAGGGACGCCTCAGCTCCCGCTGGACAGGGCCCACTCCATGCTGGAGGCGGCGGGGAGCAGGACGCAGAGAGGAGCGGCTGCTCACATGAGCGCCCCGGGGGGCCGCAGGAGTGGCTGGTCCCAGCCGGGACCCTGGTGCTGAAGAAAGGGGCGCAGCTGAGCTTGGCCTGGGGGGCAGGCGGGGAGGGGGCGGGGCAGGGCAGGGCTCGGCTCGGCTCCTTTCGGCTGTGCTTCCAGGGATGCCTCCCGGGGAGGAGAGGGCATCCCGCATCACTGGCACCACGGTTTTCAAAATGAGGGTGCCCAGGGAGCCATTCCACCCGGGGGTCTACTTCAGTATGAAATTGCCTGCTGCTCGGGCTTCCCTCGAAGGAAGGGGATGAGCCTTAAAATGCATCCATGTGGTTTTCCATCCTTTCCCGTTGCCACGAGATGCTCGCAGTCGTGTGTGAGCATCTTGTCCCTTTCACATGGCTCAGCACAAGCAGGATTATCCGGAACAAAACGTTCTGTGGCGTTCAGGAAACTAGCCAAGCCAGCGTGGGGCACCTGTCCAGGCTGCAAAATCCTGCTTCAATGTCGCACCTCCACACCTAACCGAGTCCACGCGACGTGGGAGACCACAAGAGCCTCCCCGGGAAAGGGCCAAGCTGCGCGCCTCGCCCTGCAGAAGACGGAGGGGGCCCGCTGGCCAAAGGGGCGCCAGGGGCTGCCGGGCTGGGACAGAGCAGCCAAGGGGCCCGGCTCACTCACCGAAGGCCTCGCTGACCAGGTGCTCCGCATCCTCGTCCTCCTGCTCGCTGCCTTCGTCCACTAAGGGCACGAAGGCGTATCTGCGGAGACAAGACGAGCCGGGGTGGTTCACCTTGCGGGCGCCACCTCCACAGCCCTCGGCACAGCCGGAAAGCGGCCGGGGGAGCCCGAGTTCCAGCTTGGAGAGGCTGCGCTGGGCAGATTTCCGTGGGGCTGAGACCAAGGGCAAGGGGGCCGAAAGGCGAGCAGACCCCCATGCAGTGTCGCGGGAAGCCCCTTGCCGGAAGCTTCGGAGAGGCACACGGACTGTTCAGCACCGAGGGCAGGATGCCACTCCGCGATCCTGGACTGGGGAAGGGGGCGGTGGCCGGCTGGGAAGGTCGGAGGCCTGGGCTTGGCCCACTGGCCTGAAGGTCCCGACCCCTGCAAAGCATGTCGTGGGGGCCACCGGTGTCGGGCCAGACCTGGGCTGCGTGGCTCCGACCCAGCACCCATCCGTCCCGGCCATGCAAACTGAGTAGCCAAAAGCCCTGCTGGGCCGGAAAGGACGGGGCCTGCGCCTGTGACCTCTGGCCTCATCCCCGTGCCCGAAACGCTGAACCGCCCAGGCGGAGGCACCTTTGGTTGTTGGCGGAGGGTCTCCAGAGGAACATGATCACAAGCAGGATGATGGAGAAGAGGAACCTCCAGAAGGCGTCGTCAATCCAGAGTTCCCGCCAGTCCTGGGCACAAGAGGAGGGGGCCAGTCCAGCCCGTCAGGGACAGCACCTCCCTCATCGGCCCCAGACCTGAGCTCCAGTCGGATGCCGTGGGGAGAAATCCGGATGGACGTCTGGCCGGCCCCACCCCGCCCCACCCCGTGGGAAGCGGCTACTCACCGACTGGCACGTGGCAAGCCGGAACGTCTTTGTGGTCCAGATGATGAAGATAACCGACGCTGCGGAGGAAGCAGTGATGCCGTGTCACGTCTGGAGGCGAGGGGCTGGGCTGCCACTTGGCCGGGGGGGGGGGGCGCTCTCCTCTGGGGGCAGCACCAGCTCCCTGATTACATAGTGTTCAGCATAGCGCACCGTCATGGCTCCAAGCACCCCATCGTTTACCCGGTGCAGCCCTGAGCCTTGGGGGAAGAACCTGCTTCTCCCAAGAACCAAATTCTGCTTGCCCAGACACAAGGGGCAGGGCCACTGTTGCTGCCTAAAGCTCCACCTGTAGGACTTCGGCCTCAGGAGAGGTACTGGAGCTTTTCTGAGGGGGGGCAAACTGCACCTAGGGGAGGTGAGAAGGTGTGGCTCCCCCCACGCACCGAGAGTCGATCACTATCCGGGATTTTGAAAACCCGACCAGGTCTGCGAGACTCAAGAGGAGACCGGTCACGGGAAGGTGGCAGCCCCCCCGCCCGGCGATGCGCCAAAGCTCACCAATGACGGCGAAGATGAGGGTGTTGGTGAAGTGGCGGAAGAGCGAAAGCTTCACCACGTTTCGACGCAGCTTCAGCAGCTTCATGGTTTGCACCAAGCTCACGAGGATGTGTTGCTCGTTCAGGAAAACGACGCTGTTTACATGGCAGGAGGGGGCAGGGGGAGCCTCCACCCGAAGAACAGCCCCCCCCCCCACAATCGGCTCCAACACTGTGGCTCGCAAGGCCGCAGCCGAGGCCTTCACCGTGGCTTCCCAAATGGGTCGGGCTCATTTCTTGCCTGGAAAAGCGTCTGCAGCACCCCCTGGCCCAGGCCAGTTTCCCCAGGGCCGTATCCTGCACAGAGGCAAAGCCCGGGGGAGGATGTTGCGACCATGCCAGGCGCTTGCTAGCAGGAAGGCCACAGCACCGGGCGGTCCGGAGCCCCGAGGCGACCTCTGCGGCGGCATCCCCTCCGCCCGGACGTCGGGCGAGGAGGCCCCTCCAGCAGCCTTTTCGTGCTGTCCTCCCACACCCCCAAGCTGGGGAGAAACCCCACTCCAGAGCCCCCCCAGCTTTCAGCGGGTGCCAGCACGAGCGAGCGCAGCCAGGAACGCCTGGGCCCGAGTCCCAGAAGCCGCCTCTTCCCTCTGACCCCACATGCCCCCCTTGCCGTGTCTTGGGGGGCGAGCAGGCCACCCTCGATCGCATCGAAGGCCGGAGAACTAGTAGGGGAAGGAGTGGGGGGGGAGGAGGAGGAGGAGGGAGGGAGCGACTCAGGCAAGACTAGGGACGGGGCCGGGCCGGCCGAAGAGGATATCCACCAGCAGAGAGCAGAGTCAAGCATAGCCAGCGGGATAGCCGCAAGCAGCACCAGATCGTCCTGTGCCTGGGATAAAATGAGAAGAAGGGGGTGAGGGAAGAGAGGCGATGAGGAGGAGAGGTGGGGAGAGGAAGGCTCAGCGCAGGCAGGCAGGCAGGCGGCCAAGTCGTCCGTGGGTCCGCACCGCAGCTTTGGAACAGCACAGCTGCTCGCCAGCGACGAGCAGGTGCCGCGCGGGAAGCGATCTTGCCCTCGGGAGCGCACGGGGGTCCTCGCAGCCTGGCAGGCCGTCCACATGCAGCACCCGGAGGACCCCCATGGCCGGCGAGCACCGTGTGGGCGCTTTGGAAAGCAACAGTTCCTGCTGTGAGGAGAGGGAGTCCAACAGGCGCAGGTGCGTCTCCCTAAAGATGAAAGCCAGCCCAACCACTAGGCCACACTACCTAACGCTGGCACATATTTACGCCCTCTCTGGCGTCTCTCGTATGACCCTGGCTGTGTTAACACAAGGACAAGGCGGCTGCTGCTGCTGCTGCTGCTGCTGAAGGACCCAGATGCGACTTCTCTGCTTCTGGGGGTGCGGGAAGAGCAGCTGCCGTCTTCTGTCTTTTGCTCACTGCAACCGGAAATCAATCTTGTCCCCAGCAGAGGCTGCTTTAACGAGACACGCAGGAAGCCTCCGGCGCCCATCCGTCAGGCTGGGCAGGCAGCGGGCTCTGGGGCTCCTCCAGCACACAGCTTCTCTCCTCCAGCCGGGAAAGGCGGCCACACCGGCCTGCCCCGCTCGGGGGACCGTCCTCGTTGCGTCAGCCCAGCAAAGGTGAGGCCTGGATGGCTCCCCCGGGAACAACATGGCTGCCTGCCATTTTTCAGCACGGATCGGTGCGCGCCACGGGGAGGCAGCATTTCTGTGGCTGAGTCTACCTTCCTGAAAGCAAACCCCTCCCGTACCCAGGGAGAGCCACGAGCTTCTCTCACATCGCCCCCCACGGCACAAAAAGGGGCCAGGAGGGGTCCCAGAGCCGAGGCCGCTAGTTCCATTAAAGGATATCCACCAGACAATGCAGGAGTCCACAAAAGCCAGAAAAAATTCGCAGTACAGGGGGGCGGCGTTACTTGGATCCTGGGATGGGGACAAGCAGACGCCGAGCTCCAGGACCAGCTGCCCACGCGTGCATGCGTGCGCCCCCCTCCCCCTCAGCTCGGCCCCTCCCCTCCCCTCCCCTCCCCTCCCCTCCTTACCGACGTCACCCTCAGCACCGCCTCGATGACCGAGAAGACCAGGTACATCAGCCCGACTCCCACGACGCGGTTCAAGAGCGCGCCCAGCCGCGGCCTGCCGGGAGAAGCAGCGCCCGGTCCCTAGCGAGCCCCTTTCAGCCCACCGGCCAAATTCCGTAGCGGGGGGGGCGGGGGGGGCAAAAGACCAGCGTCTTTGCCTGACAGCCTTAGCAGAGGCGCTCAACCCTTTTGGAATGGGGCAAATGCACAAGAGCCAGGCGGCCTCAGAAGAGGCCAAGGGGCTGCGCCTTCCACTCCCCTACTCTAAGCTAAGGTTTGGTTTAAGATTTAAGCTGAGCTTTGCTGCCAGATCCGGGCGCCCGGGGCAGGAGGAGGGGAGCTCTGGCAGGCTGAGGCCGTTCGCAAGAACAGGGGAGCGCCTTGCTCCTGGGCTCCCCGCCAGTGGCACGGAGCCCCGTGGCCTGGCAGGCCCAGAACACACGCCCGGGGCGGGAGGTGGGGAGCGGCCCCGTGCAGGCTGGGAGGGCGGCCGTCCCGCGAGAGGCTCCGGCCGTGAGCCGACTACGCGGCTCTTCGAAAGGAAGGGGCCGGAGAGGGTCTGTGCACAAGCCAAGCTCTCCATCGCCCGGCCGGGGCCCTGCCCCCTCACCCCCCCCAGGACACTCACTTGATGATGCCGTATCCCAAGCTGGCGATGATGACGAGCACTCGGGCCAGCATGCGCTTCACCGCGCACAGGACCTCCGCGAAGATCACGGCCCCTTGGACTGGGAGAGGAGGAGGCCCCGTGAGAGCGCGCTCGCGGTGGCGGGGGGCCCACCCCGTGGGGCGCGGGCGCCAGCGAGCCCCTCACCTGACACGCCCTGGCTCTGGATGCTCTGGAACTCGGCGTAGAAGACCGCCTTCTCCAGCATGCCCAGCAGGATGACGCCGCCGATCCAGAACTGGATGCGCAGGATGTCGCGCCAGTAGCAGGCCAGCAGGGCCAGCCACAGCGCCCCGTACAGCACGTACACGACGCACATCACCATATAGAACTGCGGGGCACGGACGGAGGAGGACGGGCGGGCCGGGGGTCAGGCGCGGCCCGGAACGAAAGGCCCACCCGACCGTCCCCTGCAGCCCGTGGATGTCCTCCCAGAGCGGCTCCCTCCAGCCGGGCGCCCCCCGAGGCCTTGGCCATTCACGGGCCCTCCGAGCCAGCGCCTCTGGCGACAGAGCCGCAGGGCCCCGACCGGGGAAGGCTGCTGCCCAGTGCCGCCCCCCCCCCCCGAATGAAGAAACAGCCGCCCCGACTCACCACCATCAGGGGCCACTCCGAGGCAGAGATGTACTGGTGCACCGGATGCGCCATCTGGATGTCGACTGCGGGCCACGACAGAAAGGAGCCGGAAAGGTTACCCAAGGATTGCGCTTGAGGGGAACAAGCCGCGCGGCACAGAACACCCCTCCTGCCGCAGGGACATCCCCGCCAGCCCCAACCCCCCGGACCGCCACAAGCGATTCCAGGTATGTTTACTCAGAGCTGGGCCACGCTGCGTTTGACAGGACCTGCCAATAAATAGCCTGACACAGGATTGCAGGCCCGGATTCCTGAGATGAGATAAAGAGAGCTCCCTCCACCACCTCAAAGTTCTTGAGATGGGCCCTCGATGCCACTTTGACGATGGAGTGGCGACCACCTTTGGATTTTAAGATACAATCCTACGCATGTTTAGACTGAAAAAAGGGCCTAAGGCTTTTTCTACAGGATTGGGCGCTTACTGATACGGTTTTGGGGCTGTTTCTATGCAAGTTTTCATGCAAATTTTAATTGTGATATTTGGTTGACTTTAATTTTCTATTTCATGGCAGGTTATGTTAGCTGCTCTGAGTACCAGAAAAGTGGGATAGAAATATATCACGGCCACAGTTAAGTCCATGGATGTTTTCATCCCTCATTTAAAGAAGAAAGCATGTTCCAAGCAGAAACATGCTTCAATTCCACAGAGCTCTGGTGTGTGGACGTGGCATCTATCCACCTAAGACAGGAGAGATGGAACTGGAAGGGATTAGCAACCAAACGAACTTTAGAAGGCCGGATGCTGAAGATGAAACTCAAGTACTTTGGCCACCTAATGAGAAGGAAGGACTCCCTGGAGAAGAGCCTAATGCTGGGAACGATTGAGGGCAAAAGAAGGAGGGGGCGGCAGAGGATGAGGTGGCTGGATGGAGTCACTGAAGCAGTCGGCGTGAGCTTAAGTGGACTCCGGGGAGGACAGGAAGGCCTGGAGAAATGTTGTCTATGGGGCCGTGATGGGTCGGACATGACTTTGCGACTAACAACAACAACAACGAACTGAGCCTCGAAACCACTGATTTAAAAAGGTGTTTTGGGATGGGGCTTCCGGCAGGACAAGCCAGGCACGCGTCCATCCACGGCTGCCCAGTCAAACCTGTCTGGTCACTCACTGGAGACCTCCCAGCTGGGAGAGAGGGACTTGATGCTGAGGATGAAGACGTACGGCCCGTCGTCCCAGGTTTCTGCCACCGTGGACAGCTAGAGAGAGAGCCGGACGCATTCGGGGTCAGCCACACTGCTGCTGTGCGGCCTGTAGCCCTGGCAACTCGGCGCCGCCAAGCAGAGCTGGGAAAGGCCCTTGCCCCGACCTGGGCTGAGAGGGCAAGAGGCCCCGTGCCCGTCGGGTCCAGCCAGCTACTTCTGAGAATGGCGGAGAGGGCCTGGTTCGGACACAGTGCTAGGCAGATACAGAGGCTTGTCGCAATCTGGCTTGCCACCTGCTTGCATGGCATCCCCGCCAGCCACAAATGGAAGGCTGCAGGAAAGGGGCAGGCAAGATAAGAAAACGTTGCCCTCTGAGCATGGCACACTGAAATGCTCTTCTGTAAAGCCTGCGGTAGCCACAAATGCCCGCCCGCCCCGTGAGAATCCCCTGGGGATGGCCGCTGGAGCTAAAGCAGAAGCGTGCGACACAGCCTTCCAGCCACGGACCTTGTTTGCGGTCTTCACTTTTGCCATGCCGGCATCTTCTGCCTTCCCGCCAGCCGGGGGATGCGGCTCCTCCACCGGGGAGCCCTTGGGCTTCTGCGCCCCTTTGGTCTCTTGGCTGGGCCCTGCTCCCTCTCCCTTCTCTCCCTTCTGGGCATCTGGAGGCCTGGCGACGTCCCGCTTCGCACGCGGCTGCGTCTGCTGGGAAAACGGAGGCTTTGGTGGTCGGAGGGAAGGAAGGAGGGGGCAGCTCCCCGCAGCCCAAGTTCCCACCGTGGAAGGACGAGGGGCACCCCGTGCTTCCCCCCACGGCCTCAAATCAGGCTAGCGATGCACAGGAGACATCGCAGCTGCCGCGTGTGTTGCTCCACCCGCCGTCGCGCTTTAAAGGGAACCCGGGCTGCTCTCGGGGGCGAGACAGCGGCTCGTTCCGGTTTCAAGGGGCTGTTGAGGGCAGACCACACGACTCTCCCTCACGGGGAGCAGGCTTCAGTCTCGTGCAACCCGCCACAGGCCCGAGCCGCCCCATGGGCACCACCTGCCCCTCTGCTCTCCCCGTTCCCCGCAATCCAACTGACCGAACTGGGCACGTGCTGCTCCTGCAAAGGCGTCAGCCTCCGGGGAGTTGGGAGTTTTGAGATCTGCAGCTAGAAGAGAAGGGAGGGGGTCACATTTGCTGGCAAAAGCCACCTGATCCCCCCCCCCCAACAAATCCCCAACTTCCCAATGGCTTTGCAATTTCTGCACTTTGAATCCATCTTCCCTCACCCAGAGGGAGGTGAGTGGGGAAGCAGGACATCCCACCAGCCCCGCAGAAAGTCCCTCTCCTTGTTTCCTCTTCCCTCCCCACCCCTTTCTCCTTGTGCACTGTGCCTTTCCAGACCACCTCTGCGACCAGGCTCTGCCTCGTTTTATGGATGACATGCGAACTGTTGCAGGAGCCTTTCTGGCTGAGGACCAGGACAGAAGTACTCCTAAAAAGAGAGATCCCTCTCCCCACAGGCAGCTTGGCCAAATTCATTTCTCTCCCACGACAATCCTTCAGGAAAGGGACAGCGCTGCTTCCGGCACCAGGCCTCCCACCCTTGGGTCGCCTGCCCAGTCCTGTGTCCCAGAACCTCCCAGTAGAGGCTCCTCCTCCCGCTGGAGCAAACCCCCCCGTGCAACGGCACTCCCGGCCCCGGGCCACCCCTCGAATCGGGCCCCCCCGTGTCCTTGCTGCCACCCCCGCCATTTTGGATTCCCCACCTCGTGGAGGTGGCCGCACCGAGCGTAGCCGTCGTACAAGACGTACAGGCCGCCCCCGGCCGAGGTGGCCTCGCTGTCCCAGTTTTTCAGGTAAGCCAGGGCGTCATTTTCCTGCGGGGGGGAGACGGGAGAGAGCATGTCGTGGCTCACTGAGGGCACGAGAAGCTGGCGAGGGGCCTGCGGTTCCCAAGGCCCGAGGCCTGGCCCGCCTCCCCTTGGGAGAGCGGGAGCCTCCCGTACGCCACAAGCAAGGACCCCACGTGCTGCTCACGTTTATGTAGACCTCATTGTGACAGCGGGAGCTGCGCAGGTACCAGGTCACGTTCAGGAGCTCCGGGCGGCTGCAGCTGTCGTGCAGAACTGCCGGGGAAGCACAGCCAGTCACCCCTCCGGAAAGCTGGCCGGGGTCCCCAGGGCCCCAAGCGGAGCCCAACATGGAGGCACACGGCTTCACACAGCCTTCCAGCCTGGCGCCTCCAGGTGTATTGGACTCTGATTCCCATCATCCTGTACTAGCCAGCACTGATGAGGACTGCAGGGCACTGGCTCAGGTTCAGTTTCCTCCGGCACGTGCCACTTACATTTCAGGATGATCCGGGTCCCGTTAAACATCGTTTTGGGCAGGACGAACAAATTCTTTGTATGGTTCTGCAAAAGAAGAGAGCGACAGGGGGGCTGCAGGGCCCCTTCTCCCCAAACAAGCCGGCTGCGGCCTCCACGGAAGAATTCTCATCTCGCCCCAAGTCGTCATGAAAGCAACCTGTGAGTGGAAATGTCGACCTTGATCCTACCAGGGAGATGGTGATGCTGCGGGGGGAGAACACCTCTGGCTGCGTCACACGCTCCAGAGGAGGGCGGGCGCCTCCAACCGGCGCTCACAGAGCAGCGAAGACCACAAGCCAGGAGGCCCGACGTCCAGTTCGCGCATCGTGGGGCCTCCGGGCGGCCTCAGGCCAGCTGTGCCTCTCAGCCCCTTTGCCTGCGTCCGGGGCGCAACACCAGCGGCCTGCCAGAGAGGATGCTGGAACGGACTACGGAGTGAAGCCTTGAGCAGCGCTTCAGGCCCTGAAACTGCGGGGCAATGTTTTAAGTGTTATGGAACATATGACCCCAATACACATGGGAAGGGGTCCTCGCTGCCGTTCTGGGTCTCAAACAACCACCGACCCATAGAATCGGAAGGGCGCAGAGAGACAAAGCCTAACCCGTCCCAAAACACCCCTAAGCAGCGCCTGCACAATCCTCGAGCGGCCGTCTCCGAGCCAAGGCGACGCCACCACCTCCCCTGCCCGATCCTTCCTTTGGGGCACTGCTCCTCCAGCAGGTCTGCAAAGAGCCGCTCGCCTATCCTTCCCAGGAAGCGCTGCGGAGGGGGCTCGGCTTCCTCACTCCCGGCCAAGAGGATTGTCTTTGAAACTCCCAAACAAAAGCCAGCTCCGCTGTAGCCCAGCTGTTGTGGCTAGGGCGCTGCTATAATTTAAGGGTTTCTTGTACCGTCCTTCCTTATCCAATTACAAGACGGGGTCCAATATACATCAAACAATTACAACAAGTAGCGTTTTTTAAGGGAAAATCTATCAAGCAAAGTATTAAATCAGCAAACACCTTGGCACACGGGTACCCTTCCAGCAGTGCCAAGCCCCCTGCAGAGTGGCCCCTGTTAGGCTAGGGGGCAGGGGGAGCAGAAAAGGCTCTTCCCTGGGGGGCCCCTCACCTGTGTCCAAATCTTGCGCCTTGCCAACCTACATCCTCGCAGCCCATGTCCACCAGCAAAAGCAGCGGGACGAAGCCAGAGCAGGAGCCACCGCTGCCTCACCAACCCTGTGCCACTGACTCGCAGGCACAATGGGGGCTCTCCCCACTGCCACATCCCGCCACTACAATTCGCTTTGAACCCCGCCAGGCAAATGACTTGTGGTTCAGCCACAGGTTTACGTCAAAGCTGAGCTTCCTCCTCTCTCATTGTGCCGGGGAAAGTACGGTAGTTTTACAGGAAAGGCCTTATGCTGCCCTCAAATGAAATCAGATTCGAGCAGAGCAAGGCAACGGTGCTCAGGCACAGCTACCCACTGTTTTCCAAAGGTCATAAATATTAACTTGAAGGACAAAGTTTTATCATGGTTATAGTTCCCGAGTCCCTGAGAGCCACCAAGAAGGCTTGCACTGCGGAAGCGCTCTTATCTTTTGTGGAGTAAATTCAGCCACAGAAATACCTGGCTCGGGATTGGCAAAGCCAGGCAGAAGGACCCACGGAAAAAAGCCTCTTGGTGCAGAACCGGGCAGCCACTGGGACTTGGGGAAGGAGCCTCTCCAGCCTTAAAACCAGCCATTTCTGCAGCACTTTCACTCACACACCTCCCTCAGCCACATCCGGCACTCGGGGTGCAGAGCAAGGTCTTGCCCGCACTGCTCCGCTCCACCTGGTCCGAGATGCAGAGGCCATTCCCGCAACCTAACCGGGGAGTCCGAGGGCAGGCGCCCAAGAACCCCTTGGAGCAGAGGGCCCGTCCTGGAGGACCAGCCATTAATACCGAGAGCCGTGGGCATCTTTCAGGCGACTGACTGGGGCGGAGCAAGGCCGGCGACAGGGACGCCAGGGTCCAGCAAGCGGGCTGGCTATCCCCAGACCTGGGTCAACCCGCAGGGGCCGTGGTGCTCTTCCCCCCGCCCGGCAGATCGCCGAACCCGGGCCCTGCCCCACCGCGGTCCTTCGACAGCCCGGCGCCACGGCCCCCCGCCCCACGGCCCCGCAGGGTGCGGGCGCCGCTGCTCGGCGCGGCTCCCCCGGGCGGGGACCCACCCGCCCCCCGTTGGGCCCACACGCGCCCGGAGCGGCGCCGGCAGGACCCTCCTCGGGGGTCGCCCCGCAGGCGCGCGGCACGGGCCAGGTCGGG